CTTTCTTAGGTGAGACTCGTCTATTGTGTACATCAGTACATCTTATACAATCAATCAGAAGCCTTCTATAACACCAACATGAGCGTTGTTGATACGTGCATTAGACATGATGTGTCTTAGTGTGTGTCTAGGCAGCCAGCACACATGCGGGTTTGTATAGGAGAGGAAAGAAATGGGGTTTGGGGTAGGCACATGTGTTTCTGGCTTGGAAGGTTGGCAGTCATATCCACCTATTCCCCACGGATACTGGACAATGAAATGCTAGCTGCTAGCTGGTCTGTGGAAACAAACCTTGCCGTATTCAAGGCCCTACATTGTAAGGCAAATTGTTGCTCAGATTGCTATTCATAAGTTTTAACGAACACCCGGATTCAATTAAATTGAAGGCCAGGCCAACAGCGAGATAAATGCCATTACATTTTTTCTATTATTATTTTCATGTCCTCAAGTGAAAAGAAATGAGTTGCATTTGTCAATAACACCCTTTTTTGGGTGCGTTAAATTTTGCTTCCTGTCACAACTGTCAGCAACTTTCTCTTCTTTACAGGTTCACTACAAAAATGGAGCAGGAAGCAAAATGATAATTAAATGGCCTACGACACAATATGTCATTCAAAGACTGACCACATGACATTTCACCACAGCACTGTGTTTTTTTTCAAGCACAACAAAAATCCTTACCGCAGCATCAAACCCTGATCTTTTGCACATCAGTTAAGAGTTAAGTCCATAACAATACAGTCACAGTAAATAGCATAAATTATTTCATGATGAATTTCCACAAAGCAGCGAAAGTCTTCAACCTGGTCTGTACCATTTTAATGTCTAAATAGAGCAGAGCACCACAAACAAGAAACAGGCTACTACCTTTAGTGTTTATTCAGAAGAATTATACAGGGTGAGCCAAAAAGTTCCCATACAGAGGGACAAACTAAAGAACCAGTTCAACTCACTTGAGTCTGGGGTATTTTCAGAAATACATGCCCTGGAGCGGGTATTTCACGAGGTTTTTTCAAAGTTCACAAGAATTTAACCACTTATTTAGTCCACATATGGCCTATATACCGTGACGGCCCCCAGGTAATCTTATTTAGGCCATAGCTCAAACTACCCTTTTCACACGACATATTTCGCAACGTTGCACATTTCTCATAATTTTGTAAAGTGTTGTCTCAAGTGCATAACTTACAAATCATAATATAATGAAAATAGTAAGAGCGCACAATACAAAAATTTTTTGCTCAAATCCCAGTGGTTTGAATTGAGGGCCAGATTTTTTCCTTAGCAGCAAAAGCTAGGCTACCATTTTGGCACACTTTGGTCAAGTGAAAAAGTCAAATCCTCCTAATGGACTTCCGGGTCAAATTTGGTGCATATAAAAAAAGGGTGTACACAACGTGCTGAAGACTCGAGGGCATGGCACTCTCTAGTAGGCCTAGTAGTACAAGTAGTAGGCAGTTTAGTGAACGTGCACTTGGCTAGGTGAATCGGCCTCAATACGGCCCATAGATTTTTGTGATCGTCCGTGAAGCCTCGCATTTTGATGGGTCTAAAGAACTCACAGTTTTGTGAATTGCGCTGCCACATCTGATAGGTCTACATCTTTTTTAAAAGGAAAAGAAAGATCTTCAAAATGGCAGTCTACGCGTGAAAATCGATTTGGTAGACCTGGAAATATTTGCTTCCAAAAACAAGGCAATTTTTACAACACGATGAAATATAAACTACTGGCTGATACTTTAAGAAGTATTATTCATTTCAGCATCTTTTGACACCTGGGTTGTATAGGTTCAAGTTATCACAACGCTAATACAGAAGTCTCCGCCAAAGATCCCACCGCTTATGGTCCCGGTTCTCCTGAGATCCCGCTGTTTTGGAAAAACATAATTTTTATTACATCCCGCACTGCAGGAGCTACATTTGGCTAAGATCCCGCTTTTCAGGTTATAATTTAGTTATTTTTTTCTTTATTTAAGAAAAAAAAGAAAAGAATAAGAAACCTGGGCTCGCTCAGCTGATCAACCCAGTAGCAAAGATGTGCGATTATTGTTTGGTCTGTCGTGTCACGGATCATCCACTCTCATGAATGCGATCACACCTTTGTTGCTAATTTTGATAAGCGGTTACAACGTTTGCCCCAGACAGGATCGCACCAAGGAGTGAACTCATTGATGCCTTGCTCTCCCCGATCACCTGAGCGGTCCGCCTGATCTTAATCACACACTAGGTGGGGAGGGACTATAAGCAATCATCAGACCCTAGATCAGATGCATTCCATCAAATTATGATCTCGTGGACGCTTACATTTTCCCGACCATCGCTCTCGTCTCTCAGTTTTGCACTTTAACTTCCTAGACAGACTGGCGCCCATACTCGTGGACTGTCTGATTGCCTCTGTATAATGAGGTCATCTGTTGGCAGTGAACCTGCCTTTCATTTATTTGGTCGGTTTTATCCCAGCACAACGATTTATGATGCATCATGACATGGGCGGGGAACTCCATTAGAGATGGAAGGCAATACATTTTTGGTGTGGGGCATTACTTGAAGCCAACTAGTTCCCATCTGACACAGTACTTTTAAAAAAGTCCCCCCCCCCCCAAAAAAAAAAAAAAGGAAAAACTGACTTCTGAAAAGAACTTTTAGTGCCCAGGAATCACGTCAGTTCATTTTAATAAGGAGAGGTCATTTTACAGATTTTGGGCTTGACCATGAGTTACTGTGGATTCTTCCTCCCTGGTCATTCGGCTAAGATCCTGATTCGCCTAAGATCCCGCACTTTCGTTGCTCCCGAGCACCAGGATCTTAGGCAAAGACTACTGTACTAATAAAAGGGCTTTCCGTGCAAATGCATATGGTACAAAGGCCAAACTGCCGAATCTACCGGTCAGTGACAAACGTGTTGCTTCGGCGATCCATTTATTCAATACTATTAGAAATCTAATGCATGCGGCTATGGAAATTGTGATGTACTGACTGACAAAAGAATTAAGCTTTTATTTTTTACATATATTTGGCTTTTGAATAGTGCAGATGATAATTAAATCTAGATTCCCTGTCCAGAATCAGTAGTAGTAGGCTAGAGAAGCAGCCAGAGAGCTTAAATCTGCTTGATCTAACTTATTAGGCTGTGCCTTTTGGCTTTGGAATTGAAATAAAACTTGAATAGCACAGTTTTAGTTAATTTTAGATTCATCATCTAACTATATTTTCCAGAGTTCATAAATAACAATTTCTTCATAACAATCACTTTTACTTTTATCAAATCCAACTTTTTTTCTGATCTGTTTTGTGCAAATTTTTAAAATTACTAGTAGAGAACACAGTTGCCTCTGCTCAGTCTTCAGTTTCAGTACATAATAATTTTGTTATTATTTTCTAGATATTTTAACTTTTTGTTGTTTTTAACATTACCGGTATCAAATTAAGCCATTTTCTTTTATAAGAACAGAGATGCCAACCACAGAAAACCGAAATGAGTATTGGGAAATATGAAAATGTGTATTTTCAGGGGAAAATGTGTATTCCCCACGACCGACCAACTACTAATAGTAAAATGTTCAGGGTGTCCAGAAATATTTCCTGAAAAAAATTACAAGCTCAGCAGCTCGAAAAAGGGAGCACACACGCGTACAATATACATGTATCCAGTCAACAACATGCAAGTGTTAAATGTCGTACCGGGGTCTGGTTTGACTTCAGTATTTCAGTCTATTATATTATATACTGGTAACATTTTCCTCTCATTATTATATAAAAAATAAATCCTGCTTTGAGAGTTGGGAAGGGCCTTGAACAAGAATTTCGACTATTAAGAACCAGTCCGGGTGTCATGATTCATAATGTGAACTGACAGACTCAAATTATTGCTCAAACTCAGAGAAAAGCAATAACTTGAATGGCTCAAGTAGACCCATGCACTGTGAGAGTTGTAACAACTGTGGCAGGGCAAGACGCAGTGACACTGAAAATCTGCCAGTCTTGAACAGAAAGCTACAACATACACTGTAGGTATAATTTACTTTCACCCATCCAATGAAACTCGAACACTTTATTTCAATAACTCAGACTTGCAAAGTATGAAGGGTCCCGATTCCGCATACGGCCTGCACCAACACGCGCTTTGCAGAAAGCTCTAATCAAAATTCTGAAATGTGCTTCCAAGTTTTTGCCCTCTGGTGTTGCCTTAACCCCCCCCCCCCCAAAAAAAAACCCCTAAAAAAATCAATAATCTCCTCCCCTCTTCCGTAGTCCTATACTTCGCAACGCCGTTACTCCCACCAAAGACGGTCTTTACTCACACGATGCCGCATTTATTTATGATGCGAATGCGCGCAGGTTCAGTGACCGGTCATGATAGCGAGCCAGACAATCTAAAAATCGGATGACACTAGTATTTTCTTTTCTCTTTTTTTTTTCCACAAGTGACAGCACAGAGACGAGTCCGAGCATTGATTAAATTTTATTTGCACGGCGACATTGCGTTTATACTGCACAACCTGCAAGTCACAAATGTTGCGTTATCAGACAACTGCTGGCAAACTTCTCGGTGGTAACGAAAGCGAAAGTAGATCTTGATTTTCCAGATCGAGCCTCACATACGCTTCCGCCTGCCGCCATAGCTGCCTATTCGCGTGAAAGAGAAACGTACTCTCCGGATGGGGAAATGCTGAACGAATAATATCACAATCGCGACCGGCAAAAATGAACTTACTGACCTTATCGGACTTGGTTTTCAAATATTCCAGTTCTGCGATACTGAGACTATTTTGACAAAAGATGGGACTTGAGATAATTAGGTTTACTCGCCCAAGCTGAATCTCGTATTTTTCGCATTCCAGAATGCATATTTTTTCATGAAAAGTCGTATTCGCGTATTTTCGGCAAAAAATCGTACTAAAATACGTAAAATCATACTGGTTGGCATCTCTGTAAGAATAGCATTAGCAGGGGTCTGTTAAGACAGCAAGTCTCTGGCTCATATTTTTTGTTTTAAATTGTGTTAATCAATAATGAAAATTTCTAATTGATAATAATTGACAATGAAAACAGTACAGTTGTCATGAATTTTGAAATGGAAGAAAAATGTGGGAAAAAATAATGAGGCAGACTATAATTGGTAAAAAAAATTGCAAGTGCAAGTGAAGATCATAAGATGATTTTGTTATTTTGTGGTCATCTTTACGCATTTTATCAAATGTTCCAGTGGGCCTACTACAATGTCTCTGAAGAACATTTTGCTTGACTTTATTAACTTTTTTATGCACTTGAAAACATAAAATATAGTTTCACACAAATATATATGTCTCAATCATGTACAATCTCCATTTCAAAACATTAACCATTTTCTTCAATAAACCCCTTACACTAAAAAAAGACTCTACACCCAGTAATTGGGTTATCAGAAATATAGTTAGAAAGATCATACAGGAATTCCTGTTTTCGTGGGAACTTTTGGCTCACCTTGCATCTGTATAAAATGAAATTTCAGTAATTCCACAGAAAAATCTAATGACCTCTGACCCCTTGGCACCATTTCTGTGAAGCATGCAGCATCATATCGCTAAATTTTAAAAAAGAACTGAATTATATTAATGCGCTTACCAATAAATGCTAAAATGGCAGTCACAATCTTTTACAACATAATAACAATGAATTGCACCTTCAAGACAAAAATGATTTCTTATTCAAGAAGGAGGAAAAGCTGTGAACACCCTGAAAACTAACATGAGGACAGTTTTGTATATATTTAAAAGCCAGTTTGTCATCAATGGGACTCCAGCTCCTTCTCCACCAGCTGCTTGTACTCATCGATTCCACCGTCAAGAGAGGTCACCACGCCTTTACTCACCACCCACAGCTCCTTGCAGATTTTACGAATCAGTCTTTCGTCGTGGGAGACTAGGATCACACCACCCTGTCACACCAACAGAAAAAATTTAGAATTTGAGTAAAGAGTCTATTGACACAATTATAATATTCATAGTGCAGGGGAAAAGTAAGTTTAGTTTAGTTTTAGTAGAGTTTTTATGGCGCTCGCAATGCATAAGGTCATATGAGCCCCACGGGGTGGATGTCAACAGAGAAGTCCATACAGGAAATCAGCCAGTTTGTCATCAATGGGACTCCAGCTCCTTCCGAGGGTGTGGTTACTCTGCTCACCTCTCTAACTTCAACAGCACAAAGTCTGCTCCGACTATCAAGGCACCCCGGAAATAGCGGGTCATAAGAGTGTGACAAACATACAATAGAAGTAGAGGAAAAATGACGATATTAAGGATTAGGAAAGAAAAAGCAGTAGTTCCCTGTTGCAGTTCAGGCACAGTTATGAGCATGGCATTGATGAATCAGCCTATTTACAATTCTATTGTGCATAAGAACATGTTAACCCTATCCGTACGTCGTGTCTTACTATTGTATCCATACGACGTGGTGAACTCTGTGCCACCACTTTCCAAAGAGGAAATTTACTCGTTAATCCGATCCGTACGCTTTGCATAGCAGTCTGTCAAAATGATTTTTTTTAGTAATTTGACTATCGTGGAGCTCCCATCTCAAAGTCATGTAAACTGGCTTTTTTGTTTTGTTTTAATAGAGGTTTTACGGCGCTTGCAACCGCATAAGGTCATAAGAGCACCAAGGGGTGAATGTCAACAGAAAAGTCCTTACAGGGAATCAGACTTACTCTGCTCACCTCTCTAGTTTCAACAGCACATTGTCTGCTTCGAATATCAAGGCATCCTGGAAATAGCGGGTCACAAGAGTGTGACAAACATACAAAAGAAGTAGAGGAAAATAACGATAGTAAGGAATAGGAAAGAAAAAGTTGTAGTTCCCCGTATTCCCTATGTTATTCCGGCACAGTGTGAGCATGACATTGATAAATCAGCCCATTTACAATTCTACTGTGCACAAGAAAAAAATGTTAATATCCCCCCTTTGGGAATGGCGTAAAAACACTTCAGTCAGTAGCACTGCCTTCTATCTAGATTCTATTGTGCATTCGCTAGTAGCAGCTATTGTATAGGAGTACAGGCGAGACGAGATTTGACTTTCAGTAAAAATGGATACATTTTTGAAAGGAAAGAACGCCTTGAAAACAAAAGCCGCTGAACGTCAGCTTCAGTTTACCAAACGCACACATGTGTTTGGCGGAAAACTGTTCTGTTAGTGCGTACGTAATGTGGTACTTGACCACATCCGTAAATCGACGACAGTGGACGGGCATTTCTGTGTTTACGCCATCTTTACCCGCGGCTTTTCCTTCTGGGGTGTTTCTAATCTAATTGCGAGCTCTACCTCTAACTTTAGAATGTTGGGACCATTGTTGGTGCTTGGTTGTGGTAAGGGTGGTCTTTTATCTTCAAATAATTCTCCTACATATTCTACCCATCTTCCTAGGACTTCTTTTTTCTCAAACAACATAATTGTCTTTTTTACCTTCAACGCCTCCTGACAATCAATGACATTGTTCAAACTGCCAGCTCACCTGATTTTGAAATTATCAGTATAGTGTCTCATTTCCTTGAGTCACACTGTTGCTAGTATTTTAAGTTGTGGGCTTGTGTTTCTAAACAAAAATAAAGACTATGCTGCTAATTGCTGGGTTTTAAAATTTTATTTACTGGGTCTGTAGTGCTACTTCTCAGCGTATGATTAATTGGTACTTATACATTTAAAGCAGTATGGAAAATAAAGTTTAGACATAGTCGCAATCCTTGCAGAATATTGACATTTTCCATGCAGAAAACGACAGTCAGAATGATTCAAGAATGGTACATCAAAAATGAAAAGACACAGCAAGGATGTACACTTAAAATAAATTAAGAATAAAAGAGATATGTCACGATAAAAATATTTTCCTACAGTTGTACCAAAAGTGAAATAAGCGCCCGTTAACTGTCAATCATAGACTTTAAGACTATGTATCCCACAGAATTCTACACTTCTAGATCCCATCCCATTATTTAAAAAAAACAACAAACCAACAATACAAATACAAAAACATTGTAACATTGCCAATTATGACATATTGTTGGCAATAAAAATGTATTAGATCTAGACTATTTCACTATATTTCCTCTTCGAAGAAAGTTTTAAAATACTGATGTAAGGTGTCTTCCAAGCCCTACCACTAGCATCAGCGTGCATAGCAACGCGAAGCCTCGCTGTGCGGCGCAGCCAAAGGTGCCCTCAACTGGCCGCCATGTTTTAGTTTCAATTCCTCACAGCGAATCGGCGATCGCGAAGAGGGAGTTCCGCTTCTATAAGTGTAGAATTCTGTGATGTATCCTTATGCGTGACGCAACGTTACGTTGCGCGCGACAGCAGTCCCGAGGTGTGTTCGTCGCGCACAAATTTTCAGTCGCGTGCGATAGAAGTGACAAAAGTGTCTCCTTATGTGTGACTGGTAAATCCTGTGTGCGACGGGCAGTTCACAACAGAGAGACAGTGGCAAGTTATTTTTGGCACATAGCCTCGAGCCTTGCCTTCACCAACACACACAAACACACTCCCCACACACGGCGTGTCGACCGTGGGCACGTCTTGGCTAGGTATTTAGACCTAAACCTGCCACACCCCCCAGTCTGTCTCCCGCTACGAGACTCTTGATCGCTACATGAACCGATCAGACGCGACAGTCGCGAGTGACGTTACGTCGCGTGTAAGGAGACATTTTCTTTACAATCTTACTTGATTGATTTTAGAGCGAGAAGGACCAGACGTGACGTTACGTCGCACATAAGGAGACAACCTCAAAAAAAAAAATCACTTGTCAGTAGCTTTAGCAACAATTTACCGACTTGGTCGAGTCAGTATTAATATTAATATAGATCTATTCTTTGAAGCCATCTTGCCCTTTCTCAGCTACACTACCAAACCTACAGTGATAGATTACCCAAACTGCTATCGATAGGGTTCAATTTGAGTCGAAGTTAGCAAAGGCAACACTCCGTTTTGATGTTACCTTCCAGTCTGTTTTGACAAAGGTCACAGTCGTGCGGGTTGCGCCGCCTACGCGACAGGAGAGAGAAGCACCTCGTTCTGCTGTCAGAGTCCGGGCTTAAAACAAATACACTTTTCCCCTCCATTTCCCACCTTCACCCTAGCTAGGCTATAATTTCTATAATAAGCATTTGACACAGTGCCGCACTTTGAAATTAGAACAGTGTCCTGAGAACTGAGTAAGGCAAAGAAGAGAAGAACCTTTGAGTACTATTGGAAATTGTTGTGTGCTAAATCTGTTCAATGTGTATGTGGGTGTGTGTTTAGTGCAGTGTACAGTACCTGGTTCTACACTTGATCTGCATGGAACAGCGTCATTGGTAAGGTATCAATTGACAGTGACAGAACACAGGTTTCATATACAATTTTTATATGGTGAGTGCAGGTCGAGACTTTGAATGTGTGAGTAAAAATGGAGCCTAAATCTTTGGGTAACATAGGCCTACAGGGGGCAGGGCTAAGAGGCGGTTGCTTCTTACTTTCTTTTTGTTCTCTAGTATACCGTAGTAGCATTTTTTGTTCCGTGTCGATAAAGTCAGTTTGTATCCATATTTCAGAGGCTTCAATCAATGTCTTGAAACTTTATAATTTACATTTAAAAGTTTGTTATGGTGTGGATTTTTTTCTACTAAATCCTTTTCATTAATTCATACATTCCCCCCCCCCCCCCCCCTCTCTCTCTCTCTCTCACGCACACAAACAAATACACACATGACGTGCATGCACACACACACACACAAACCTAAAGACATACTGGTAAAAGTATACCATTGACTGTCTGTGTGTGTGTGTATGTGTTGTATGGGCGCAGTTTTGAGGGGGGAGGGGGGCAAGAGGTATCATTGGGCGTTACAGCTGGTCAGTTCTGCAAACCTCAAGCCGCCCCTGCTCATAACATAAAATACTAGCAAGAAGTGAGACCCATAGAAATGAGACACCATAGTATAATTTCAAAATCAGGTGAGCTGGCAGTTTGAGCTCGACACATTTGTAGCAGATTACACAAACTTTGTACTCTATTCTTTTGGTAACAGGCAGTCAGCGAAGGCCTTTCAAGACTGGTGTTACATATTTTTCTTTTGAAATATCAATATGCTGCACAATTCTGAGCTGTCAGAATTCATTTGATGGGGAAAGCTGAGAAACAAAGCCGATCTTGAAATCCCGTCTGGATAGAATTAGAATCTAGATCTAGATCAAGTTTGTTTATAAAAATAAAGAACACTCTAATTTCCCGCTTCCAGTGAGAGGGAGATCCCTCTAATGTCGTCAGCTCGGATAAGTTTAATTTCTTTTTGGCAATTCTACGCCTGAAAGCATAATAATGCTGCAAAATTCTGCACACAAAAAAAAAAAAAAATTACGCGGTGCCATGGGTGAAGTTCCACAGTACGGTCGATCCATTTTTCCATGGCAGCGCCGTGGTTGCAGTGCTCATAGAAAACCACAATGACAGATTTGCGCCATTACACCACCATCTGTCAACTGTCTCAGTTGTACGATACTTATACTTATAAAACTCATGTAAATTTACTCCGTTGAACCGCTGACAAGCTGGCCGCCAGAAGTACACAGTACACACTAGGTTACACACAGTGCACGGCACATCCACTCGGGGGTTGCTTGACAATCTTTCACACACTAGTCTACAACCTAGACCTACGGCGATTTGCTCCCTCTCCGCCCATCCCATCTCCTTACCCTTGACTTGTAGATTTCAGGCAATATGGATAGATCTACAGCGATGTACTGCAAGCGAGAAGATTACGAATAATATAAAACATAACTTTGTAAGTCACCATCAAGTTTCTCTCCCCGCGTGATTCCGACTAAATTTGATGCACTGGTTATAAAATGCTGCTCTATTTAGACCTTGGTCAATATAACAGAAGAAAAAAAAAACGGAATTAAATTTTTGTCGCCTAGAGAAACTTTAACGGACCCTTGCCATCATGTTCATCTCAAGGGATATAGGGTACAACAGGGTGTGACTGTAGTTCCTTTCTGAAAATTTTTCTCTCTAAAATAAAAAATCAATGCACATATTTTCTAGTTGCAACAGTTTTTTGTTGGTGAAAATGCGCTGTTTAACTGAAATTTATTATTGCTCTATATAAAGATACAGCAACACCAATCAACCTCCACCTTGTAGACCATGACCAACCACCAGAGAGTGGAAGTAGAGATGACTGGATATAGACAGTGATACATTTTTCTAAAATGTAGATGTTTTTTCACTCCTATTGACACAATTTCGATTATTTACAAGGCGGGCTTCTAACCCTGCCTGTCAGGGCCAAGCTGGGCTGAAAGGGATACAACATCACAGCAGAAAGGCAGAGATACCAGATAAAATTCTCTCCACTCAGGAATTGAACTAGAGTCTCCTGCGTGTGACAACAGAGCGCCTAACCGTTACACCACAGGACCAGTGTACAGAAAGTAAAAGTAAAGTAAGTAAGGCAGTTCTACAAGCAGAACCACTTTGACAATTGTCTTACCTTGAACTTGTTCAGAGCTTCCCCTAAGGCCTCAATAGTCTCCATGTCCAAATGATTCGTCGGCTCATCAAGGATGAAAAAGTTTGGGCTGTTGGCAGAAACACGAGTTACAACATGAAACGCACCCTTTACTTCAGGGCGACAAAAGTAGCCACTTTTTGAAAACAGCCTTATTTCTCAACAGCTCCCCCCCCCCAAACAATTCACAGATAGGATAGACTTTATAGCTTTCCAAAGTTATTTTAAAAATAGTAGTCAACTTTAACTCTATTTGACTGCAATGGTATTGTCTAGAATCTGAGCATAGTTGGGCGTTATGACTGGTGGCTATAGAAGCAAACAGTTGTCAGACATGTGGTATTAAATATCAACAGTAAAGTTAAGTCTGAAAATTTATATATGATTGAAAAAAATACTGATTTCAAAAGGAGGTAATTATAGAGTGACTTGAAATTGAAAGAAGTTAAGGGAAATGCAGTAGTCTCTGCCTATGCTCCCATAGCTTGGGAGCAAGAAAATTGTGGGATCTTAGGTGAACAGGATCTTAGCTCACAGACCAGGGGAGAATCAATGGTGCCTCATGTTCAGGCCGAAAATCAGTGAAATGGTCTTTCCCTACTCTAAAAAGAACTGACACCTTGGTGGGTTTATGACATAAGGCGAGCAAAGATCAGTGGACAACCTAAATGGCCAATCACAATGGCACAAACCAAGTCATTTTCACTTATCCAATCCTGAGTCTCAAGATCTAACCTATTCCATTGTTGCTCTCTTTTATCTGTCCAAAATTTGAAGCTTTCCATCCTCTGTTATAACGCACCACTGTGCTGTGATCGCACCAAATAAAATTCAGCCCGTCTTGCAAACTGGGGTATTGAGACAACTGCTGCGATCGCCAGGGAAACAAAAGCACTAAGGAGTTCAAAGTTTGATGTGATCCCATCTGATGACGACCTATAGGCCATACCTACACACCTTGTGATGTAAGTTCACATGGAAAGCTCAGGTGCAGGTGTGATGTTTTGAGAAAGCAAACATGTCGATGACTTCAAACCATGGTGAGATCCCATTGGTGACAAAAATTGTACCTTCTCATTGCAACAGAGATCTGATCACATTCATGAGAGTGAGCCAACGGGCTGCACAATGATTGCAAATTTTCACAGCTTGCTTGATCAGCTGAGCCTGCCCGCATTTTTTTTCCCTAAATTATGATCTGAAATGCGGGATCTTAGCCGATTGTAATTCTTCAGAGCAGGATCTTAGGGCGGATTTTTGTGCAGTAAAAATGCTGTTTTCCTAAAACATTGAGATCGTAAGCGAACTGGGAATGTAAGCGGTGGGATCTTAAGGGTAGACTACTGTTTTTTTGTGTGGAAAACTCAAAAAATGAATTATGAAGCTATTTATCACTATCACTAAAGATCAGGTAAAGAAACGACTGAATTGTATCATCTTAACTTAATACAATGAAATGAACATTCGCTCCGTAACGAAATAAAACAAAAACATTTAAGATTCCATTTCTTTGTTTTCGCGTTCCCCAGCTAGATCAACCTGAGAGCAACTGAATTTTAAGTATGTGAGTTCTTTTTGAGTTAGTAAGGTCCCTTGGCTTCAGGTAGCCACATTCCCATTTCGAAGGTCTTTCTTCTCTTCTTCTTCTTCTTCTGGCTGGCCTCCGTTAGGAGGGCGGCAGTCTGCCTCAGGCAGACAGGTAAGCGGCAACCTCTTGTGGCCTCGTCCAGAGTACATCCGGGCCCGGTCTCGCGTTGTTCTCCAAAAGTGGGCCTTGATGTGCTTCCCCCCGCGGGCACTCATACAGTGAGTGCTGCAGGTCGTCAGGACTTGTGCCACACGCTAGACAGGAATCATTGGGAGCGGAGCCTGTTGCATGGAGATACGTCTGCAGGATGGGGCTCTTCGCGTTGCATTTTAGCTGCAATAACACTCTTCTCTGTCTCACGGTAAGGTCTCTCTTTTTGTCCTTCTCCGGTGGTGGCTTCACCTTTCCCCCGATGGAGTCGTGCACTCACACTTTCTCCCACGCGTGGGCAATGATGTAACGCGAGATGCATGAGCTTGCTGACGCGATATCGACTGGAGTGTTGGACTGGTCGAGGCAGCCTCCCTTGTTGGCCAGGGCGTCAGCTCGGTCATTCCCGTAGATGTCTCAATGTCCTGGTATCCATTGTATGTGAAGGTGTAGTGGCAGATAGTGGTCCACATTTTGTCCTCTATCTCAGTACGCACTGCAGTTACTCCGGATATTAAGTGTTGAACAACTGACTGGGAGTCTGTGAAGATGTGGATTCTTTGAAAACGTGGTTGTTTTTCGAGCCATTGCAATGTGCCGAGCAGGACGGTAGTTTCAGCTCGGTAGCTGCTTCCGTGTAGTCCCGTGGGCATGGATACGCATGTTTCCTCCCCAGAAGATTTGTCTAGACACCAGTATCCTCCTCCACATAACCTGTAGCCGTCGGTGGCATGGCCGTCAGTGAAGATATCGAGGTCGGATGTAGGCAATTGGCGCACAGTCTCGAGAGCTGCTTCACGTCGCATATTAGGTGGATCTGTTATTGTCGTAGACACTGCAAGTTTTGAGTTGATTGTGAGGTTGCAGGGGTATTCCATGGGGGAGTTGTACTCACTGGCCGTAAGGGTTCTCTGATTAGATGTTCTAGTCCTGCGTTATTAGAGCTCTGTCGGCCCACTTCCCTCCAACTGTTGACGGACTTTAAACGTATTTTTGATGTTCCTTCAGCTGAGGCACGGATCGGGTTGTCTTCTGGGACTCTTTTTGCTCTCTCGTATGCCACAGCAATTGCAATGTTAGACTTAACCTCAAGTGGGATGAGGCCAGCTTCGTTTGTGAGCAGCATAGCATTTGAGTCTTTCGTACACCCGGTAATTATTCTGGCTGACGAGTTTTGAATAACATTTAAGGTCTCATGATTTGTTTTGGCCGTTGCTGGGTACCAGGCTTCGTGGGCATACTGGATGGCTGATCTGATGTACACGATGTACACCATACATAGATCTTCTTTGCTGCATCCCCAGTCTGTGCCGGAGAGCCTGCGGAGGAGATTGACTCGTGGGGCCAGTTTATTCTTTAATTTATTATTTATTGATATGTTCTTTAAATGTTAACTTGCAATCAAAGGTCACGCCAAGGAAGGTAGGTGTTTTGTTATGGGCACCTCCTCATCTCCCACTGTAAGCTGGGTACGCCAGGACATTTCACGGTTCCATGTTGTGAAAAAAGAGTATTCGCATTTCGCCACGTTAATTTCCATCTTCCATCGTTTTGACCAATCGCAGATCTTGTCCAGAGCGGCTTGAACCATCGTGGCGGCAGTGTCAAGATTTTCATGGGACGCCCATATTGCCAGGTCGTCAGCGAAGAGGCTGGTGTTGGTGTCTACCGGTAGGTCATCTACGATGTCGTTGATGTACGTGAGGAACAGAAGTGGTGATAATACTCCGCCCGGAGGGACGACGGCCAGGAAGCGATACTAGCGACTTTCTTTTCCCTCAAAACAAACTCTGGACCTTCTGTCGTCTAGATAGGCCTTGATCTTTCGTTGTAGACAGGTGGGCATTCCTAAGGCGTTTATCTTGTAGACGAGTCCAGTATGCCACACCTTGTCAAAGGCTCTTGAAAAGTCTATTAGACAGAGTATGGTTCTCTTTGCTTTGTGTCTTGGTCCAGAGTTGTCCGGAAGGTTGTCAGATATGTGTTGGGTTATCCTGGCGATCTGGTCCTATGTGCTACACTGTGGCCGAAAACAGGCTTGCATATTGCATAGTTTTTGCTGGGTTTCCAACAAGAACGTCATTCTCACTTTTACTAATCTCTCCACGGCGTCACTTTTCGCCCGATTCTGTTACTTTTAGTTCGCGTGACTCAGCAGCCCGCCGGAGCTCCCCGGCTCGGGGTCACGGGGTTAATGAGCCCTGAGGCGACTTTGCCGGTGTCGGTCGGGAAGTTCGCATTTTAGACTATGTTTAAAACGATATAACTTCTTCCCCATCCCACACAGCAAACCATTACGCGGATGTACTAAAAGCTCAAAGTCTTGAGATTTATTCTGCGTTATAATGGTTAGTTTCTTTTCCTTAGTTTTTGTTCTAGACAGGTGTTTGTAGAGTACCCAATTTGTCCTATTTTAGTAACAAAGTTATGAATAAATGATTGTTATTTTAAAAAATGCACGACAGATCTCTCCAAATTCTGTGTTAAACTGACTACGAATATCATGTCTTTTACCATGAGAAATCTTAAATCTGCGGTAGTAGTAATAGTCAAGTTATAAGAGAAGAAAGATGCACATCTGCATATTTTTAACTAAAGACGATCAGCGTTAGCTCTTATTTTACTATTAAACAAGAGAAAGTTACTCTGCGTTTGTTCATGAACCATGCTGTGTCTGTGGAAGCCTGCATACAACTAAAAAGATATAATATAAGCGATTTAAAAAACCACAAAACCGTGTAAATACATGGGTAGAGATAAACTTCTAGTATGGAATAAAAATAATGACAGCTAAAACATTCATTCTTAGTTTTTGTGTAGGAAATATGCGCGGACACAATTATGAATATAAAGAAATCAGTCACATTGTCAGTTATTGCAAATGGTCATAGAAACGTAAAAAAAAGCTGCAAAAGTCTGGTGGTGATTCAGTGTCCCTGGAAAGCTAGAAATTATTCTTATAACCCAATTACGAGAAGTCATCCTTATTATTCAGTCCACTTACAAAACCTAGACTTAGCGTTTTAAGAAAAGTAAGCAATTTCTGGAGTGTAACAGATACTGTTCGTGTATTAGATCTACGTTGAAGATATATTCTAGCACTAAAATCGATTTGTACTTTTCATTGAGAAACTTCATGATAACTTTTATAAACTTTCGGTGAAAATATGCGAATATTCATGATTATATTAGACACATAAAGTTGTATTTGGAGGAATTACTTCGTAGCGAATTGTGTGCCCGATGGATAAAATTGCAAAATTACAGCCTTCTATAATAAGCGCAGATACCATCTTTTCTGAGTATCTGCACTAATGTTATGTCGTTCATATTCCAAAAGTTCGACAGATTTTGACGATGCGTTTTTTTTTATATTGATTTTTTTTCATTCACACTAGTCCCCCAAAAATTACAATTTAGCATTGCCGACTCCAGCGCGTCTAACGAAATAACCAGACAAGTTACAATGTCTGTTCTTTTTTGAGTCTCAAGAGCAGAAATACGTGCTTTGGGTGCACTAAATGAGAATTACCATAAATATAAGGATACACCTTAAATTGTACGTTGAAAAGTACCAAAAATTAAGTCGGCCCAGACAGAGCGGCGACAGGGAGCTGACCCCCGTGACCCCGACGTGATAAGGCGCCCGGCGGGGAACCCCCCGCGGCAACTAAAATTCCACTGCCGGTGCGCCGTGTCTCGTATAATTTTTCGAAGGTCTTCTATGTTTTTATACTGACTAGATTATTTTCAGTTTTGGTATGAATTAACTTTGGTATGAATTAACTTTGAATTTTGCTCAGGTCGAAGCTGAAGCCTACTCATAGATTAGAGGACCATCAAGGGATCTTTAACATGGTCAACTTGCACACTGGACAAGATAAAAGGTAGAAGCAGAGTGTTGACACATAAACTAGCCTATGAATTCACCAGTCAATGATAATGACTGCTAAATCAAAATGTGCCACGACTCTGTGGAATCAGGCGTTTGTCAATTTTTGAACATATCGTCGGCCGATGAATCTAAACGTCTAACTCTGATTTCGTAAATTTTGCAGGAGAGACAAAAAACTGAATTCAATGGCACTTATGGGGATTTACTGCCTTCAAATGCATTTGACTGAAATAATGACTCAACTACAGTGGAATCCTGTTATAACGAGAGGGAGGGGACTGGAGCAAAATGTCCGTTATAGCAGGATTTTCGCTATAAGGGAACCAGTGAAAATCCAAGGGAAACTGTAAAGTACGCCTAATCAATGAGTTTGGTGTTCTGTTTATTTCCTTTGCTATCTCCTCTGATGATGATTTTGTTCAACATGACCTCTAGGTCTTACTTGATCAAATATCGAATCAGGTTTCTTTCTCTAGCGCTAGATCTAGCGATGTGGACTGACAGCTCGGCGTTGTCGATCAGAAAGAAAGGGCTCTAGGCTAACTCGCCCGCTGTGTTTTCCCTCACCCCACTCCACCCTGTGGTGCATTCTGTCTGCTTGCGCGCGTCACACATTCGCTCCATCCATCACATTGCTGTGACCTCTCCATCCTCGCATCGGAGAAGTGAGAGGCATGGTAGGCCTTGATAATATAAACTAGGCTTACGCTGGCCTATCACGCGATGCGTTCTGCTTGTCTGCGCATGCCACAACCTCCCTACTCAGTCGCTCCGGCCTTCATTGTTGACCCACATGGGCTCTCCCATTCTTTGTTTGGCTAGTTGACAAACAAGTTTCTCAACTGGCGAGATTTTGCATTATGTATAATTGGCCTAAGCACTGTGCATAGCAGCAGCAATATTCCGCTTTAACCGACACGCATGTTTGTCTGGTAGGTCTGTAGCAGTATTTTATTTACAAAGGTAAAGAGGAGAAAAAAACAGGGTTTTAGAATAGTGTCTTTATAACAGACTTCTCGTTTTTTCCGCACTCGTTATAAGTGGACTCCACTGTATTCGTGTATTTATATAAAAATTGCCAAAATTTTGTTATTTTAAGTCCAAAACCAGAGTAACACTACTCACTTTTGGATTTGTAAGCGTCTAGTTGTCGACGAACAAATTGTTCGATTAGAATTCTCAAAACCCACCTCGGACGCCACGCGCTTCTCTACGTCTAACTCAGTAATTGTGACACGTTAATGTTACCGAAAAACTTGAAATCCAAGAGTAAGTCAACTATAAACGACCTGGTCTAATTAAACTCAGGTTGGTCAGTTTGGTGAAATCAGAAAAGTAATAATGAGTCAAATACTTGACAACATAAGGCTTCACTTTCCTACTTTTTTCCATTAGCCTGACATAATCAACTGGGCAGTAGATGTGCTGTGAGCACTGTCCACCTCCATCTGTGTATAGCCCTTCTCTAGGAATTTCAGTGTTACAGTCTTACCATTGACAGAACTTAATTTAACAGTGCAGAACTCATTGTGACGTTGCGGTTCTGATACATGTAACCACATCCATCTGAATGTACAATATATTAACCCGGAGTCAAATCAGAAGACAAAAAACATCAGCCACACAAGGAGCAAATTCATTTGCAGTAAGAGATTGTAGTACAAAGCAGATGCATTAGTGCGTGGATATAGTAGAGCTGATTGCAGGTCCATGGTGATGCATTTGATTTTGGGGTTGGCATGCATTTTTCCTTGACTGTTATCTTTTGATCCTGTGCAAGTTTAGCTCTCAAGTGATGCTGATTGTATGCCCCCTCTTCTGCATTTCCCTCCTAAAAGCCCACACAAAGATCACACCTATCTTTTCGAGGATGAAACAACGGCAGGTTCATAGTATTGAACTCCTCCTTAAATTTGAAGGTAGAAAGTACCCTATCCCCCCTCCCGAACTCACTTTTCTTTTTATACAAACGCGGTACACTGGCTGTAAGCTCTGGAAAACAGGTTTCAAGTATAACTCACTGAAGTCCCTCCGGCAATAGTGAGATGGCAACTTGGGCAGATCACAAAGACACTGTTTAAGTGCCTTTGATTCTGTAGTCTCCTCCCTCATAATTTTTCTCTGAACTGGAACCTCACCCTCTGCTACACCCAACCCACATGTGAGAACATTGTGAACCCACTAGTTACAGAGTCCTGTAGAACTTAAAAAGAAAGCCTTACACACGTTGACTCTGGCCCCATTCACCCGCAGATGGTACTTCATAAACCTTGATCTTCTGCTTTCTTCCTCCTTTTCTCCTCAGGCTTGACACAGTTGACCAACCCTTTAACGAAAGCAGCCTTTTCTGGTTTGGAAAAAGTCCAAACATAATCAAACACCCCCTTTGGAGCAAAGCGTGATTGCCGTGTCCAGTGGTGGCGACCAAAACAAATTAGTCAGTTAGAATTTTTCTGTCATGGAAGTAAGTCGGAATGTACGGTTAGAATTTCTCTATTATAAAACAAGACTTTTTTGAGTCAAAAGTGTTTGGGATTTTAATAGGACGAAGCCATTCGTCAAGTTGATCTTTTCTACGGAAAAACACAATTAGAGAAAATCTCGGAGTTAGACGGTTAGCATTCTCGGCCTACGATATGGAGTTATTTGTATCATTTTAATGTTTGTTTGTTTTTCTTGCTTTCGATGAAAAAGATATCCATCTGTCTTGAACAGAAGTCAAGACTTTTGAGGTTGAAAGAGGTGATGGTCATCTGGTGTCAGAGGTAAAATTAATGAGAAAATGGGCACCAAAGTTTAGTAACTTTACTTTAAAAGCCTGAGTGTCCTTGCAAACTGCATATTCATATATTTTGTGTCTTTGATCATTTTTCAGTTAAATTCACACAGAAATGTATTTTTAAGAGGACGTACAAGGTCTTGAGCCAAAAATCAATATTCAATAAACAATGCGACACTGGCGAAAAAATGCTGGTAATTTCGATTTCATTATACTGACGAGTGCCTGATTTTACCGCAATGCCTCACAAATGCTTTTGACACTTTTCATTCCCCACACTGTCCTGATCTATCTCATCTGACTATTATTATCACTTCCACGGTCTAAATGATAGTTAACAAATTGTGTGTTTCTTTACTCGACACAGAGTTCTAATATCACCGCTCAGTCCAGCCATGTCGGCTTTCCCACACAACCTCCTTGAAAGCAATCGGTTTTCTCTCGTAAACTGTCAATAAGATGCTATGTTTTTATATAAATTTTGTTTTGGGTTGTTTCTAAATTTTATGACAACCTCCAGTTATATCAAAACATGAATTGGTGTTATATGAGTTAGTTTTCTGACGGCACTGCTCAACACATATATATCAGTGTGGGGTACAGAGAGAGTTAAAGTGAAGCATTTATAGTGATCTCACAAAATTATACTTCTCATCTCATTGGACAAATATATGAAAGGCAGATATATGCATGAAATTCTTATTTTGTTTGACACATCTTCCATTATCATGCGCAAAGTAACCAACAAAATTTGCTTTCATCACTCACTTGGTCATACTCATAACAGCAAACGCCACTCGGCTCTTTTGCCCCCCACTGAGACTTGAGACTGGTCGGAGTGCAAGGTCACCAGACACTCCAAATGAGCCTAGCTGATTGCGGTAGACTTCCTGTCCTTGACCTGCAGAAAAACAAGTAAAGTTTTAAAAGGTCAGTACTTTTACTTATCACTCTTTCTGTCCTCTTATACCACACAGTGTCAAGGGGAGATGCAATTGTCCGATGTGGGCTGTTTGGATAGTCATGCTTTTCTTGGAGGCTGTTTTTTTGAGGGTCTAGTTTTTGGTTTAGTTTAGTATGGGGTTTTACAGCGCTCGCAACTGCATAAGGTCATATGAGCGCGTGAAATAATTTGTTTTTTTTCTCAACAGTTTATTTCTTGGCATGATACTGGTCAATATTTCTATTTAAAATTGTAAAAACACTAAAAAATCAAGAGTAAATAGATTTTAGATTTAAATTTAAAACAACTTTCTAAATGACACTAAAATTTCATAACTTTCTATAAAGGCAAATGGCCTTTATAAAATCCAAAATTCTGTTGGGATCAACAATGGAAAAAATGTCGTGCAAATTTTAGCATTTAAAGTATTTCCTTCGGGTCTCTCCGAAGTCTAGACATTCGGTTCTAACGGTAAAATCGGCGTCGCATCCGACACAGAGTGGCTTCTCTTCTCCCTGAAGGAGGTGTTTGTGTGTTAGGGCCGTGTGCCCGATGTGTAATCCAGTAAAAATAACTTCATCTCTTCTGGAGAGGCCCGAAGGATTTCGCGGTCCCAGTTTGGGTCTAATGTTGTGTAGTTTGTTATTAGTTTGTTTTTTCTAATGACTCTCCCACAGACTGGAAGTGTACTTTTTGACTTTATATTTTAAAGTCAGTCTGTGGGAGAGTGTTCGTCGTTGATCCCAACAGAAAGGATATAAGGATTTCTTCGCCAGATCATCTAGCTGCTCGTTTCCTCGGATGCCCACATGGCTAGATATCCATGCGAACACGATATTTTTCCGTTTCAGCTAAGGTGTGTATTTTCTGTTGTAGCATAACTATTTTGGGGTTTAGGAGAGTGTAGTTTGTGAGTGAGGTGATGCAAGACAGAGAGTCAGAAAGGATAAAGAAAGATTCATTAGGAGATTTTCTATGGAGTCCAGTGTCATGTCAATGGCAGTGGCCTCCGCAGAGAAAATGGAGGCTTCAGGATGGAGTCTCCCCTGGTGTGGACTGTTTGAAGATAGGGCAGCGGCGCCCACATCATTGTCTTTTTTTTTCTGTGAAGATAAACTCCAAACCGGGGTATTTTTCTATAAGTTTTTTGTATTCTGCTTTAAATGTTTTGGTGTTTGTGCTTGCTTTGTTGTGTGTGGTCAGCTGTAAGTCTACTTTTGCTTTGGTGAGGTGCCATGGAGGGAGGTCAGGGAAAAGAAATTGTTGGATGTTTTGTTTGGGAAAGTGTATGTTTTTGAGGTCCTCAAGGATTCTGAGGCCGAAGGGTTTGATGAGTCTTTCATTGTTTTGGAATTTGTTTATGGTTTCTGGGTTTGTTTTAAAAATGCAGTTGTGTGCTGGGTTCTCTGGTGTTAAGCTCTGTTTAATTGCGTATTGTAGTGCAAGTTGTGTGCATCTGAGTGTGAGTGATGGTATGTTTGCCTCGGCCTGGAGGCTCTCCACCGGAGAAGTGCGGAAAGCCCCCAGAGCGAGGCGGAGTCCTTGGTTTTGCACTGGGTCTAGCATTTTGTGTGGTCTTTGTTTGGTTTGGGTATTGACCAAGACTCCGGAAAGGAGTGCGACCGCCACAAGTCGTTGTATATGTCTAGTAGGAGTGTAAGTGTTTCTGTGGGTAGGTGTCTGATGATCTGGTTGTGGATGTCATCCGGTCCTGGGGCTGTATTGCCCAGGTCCGAGATGCACGATGTTAGTTCGTCTAATGTGAAGTCTGCATGGTAGGTTTCAGTGTTGTTTGAGTTGAGTGGAAGTTTAGGTGTTGTTGTTCGCTTTTAGTTTTGATGTTTTGAAAGGTGGTGTTGTAGTTTGCTTGGGATGAGTTTTTGGCAAGAGATGTAGCTATTGTGTTTTGCGATGTCTACCAGTGTTTCAGCTGGGGTGAAATATTTGAAGTTGGCCAAAATTTTAAATACATCACAGTCAATGTCCAAATCAGATACGTTATTCAAGCACACATTTTCAATAGCTTGATTTAAAACTGGTTTATTCGGAATCAAGGTTTGGTCTCCAAGAGATGTCTTTGTTGTATCATCTTTTGACCCGAGTTTGACTTAAATTTTGCTTATTGCAAAATACTTCCAGCGCTACTAAAGGGATCCATAATGATGTCAATGTGGTCAGATCATTGCAGCCAAAATCAAACTTTTACGTAAGAAATATAGCAATCTGACAAGACTGTATCACAAACACTCTCAGGAGACGTAATGCTAGTCTTTGTGGAGCACCAGTCGTACTTAATAAAATGCTCAAGTTGAAGGGAAAAAAGGAATTGTTGTTTCATATCACCAAGAAGAGACAAGGACAGATCGAATCTGCCAGACAATGTTATAGTTGATCGAAACATCAAGTCACAAAAAAATTAAGAAGGAAGACTATGTGCCGCCATAATACATTCAATTATCCAGTTGGACAAAGAAATTTACTATCACAATGCAGTATCATTGTTCTATAATGACGCCGAACTGTGAGAATGTGCTAGACATACTACGATGTCAAATGACTGGTCAGCAAAGTAATACGAAGTTGATCAGTGAACATCTGGAGGACATTAAAAATTTACTCAAAATTTATTTTAACAACAACAATAATCACCACACAGAGAAGCAAACAAATACAAACTTCAGTAACATATAACATATACCTGGGAACCTGTTGGCTAACAGCTGCACAGAGTGCACCCCCATGTCCAGCTGGTCCACATGGTGCTGACTAAAGTATCCAATGCGTAGGTTCCTGTGGGCATGGCGGTGACCGCTGCATGGCTCCAGCTCAGCCAGAAGTAGCTTCAGCAAGGTTGTCTTTCCTGCTCCATTGTCTCCCACCTTGAGTAGGGTGGGAGGATGGAGGGAAGAGAGGAGGAGGAGGAGGAGGGGGGAAGGAAAGGGAGGACAAAAACACATCTTTAATCAAATCTGAAAGAAGGAAAGTCAAGCATTAATTTTTTGTGTGACCTAACTTAACTAGACCTCTTTCATGAGGACATTCAGTGGTAGATCACACGAGTCAAGTGCTTTTCGTGTTTTTTTGTCAAAGCTTTAGTTTATTAAGAGTTTTATGGCGCTCGCAACTGCATATGGTCATATGAGCGCGCAAAACATGAGTTGGTTGCATTCAAAACAGTTCACAGCACGGCTTGATTCTGGTCAACATTTCTACAGTGGAACTCCGATTCAACTAGGTCGCCGGGCCTGACCTAAAATCTTGTTGCATCCAAGTGTTCGCTATAGCAAACAGGAGGTTTTGTGTAGATAATTACAGGCACTGAGCAAGTAATGTATAAAGAGAAATCACAAGTTGAGCGTGAAATGCCTGCATATTATGAGCTGTGTTTAAAAAAAAAAGACCGAATCGTTCAATTATACACGCCTGTGTCATCTCGATTGTTTACCAAAACGTTGTGTTGCTGTGTAGAGCCTAGCATACGGCAACTTTTGATTCCATAAACCAGCGCACAATTCATTATGTTGATCTACGTCAAGACTAGCTTATTATTGTAATAATGATCAGTTGCCGAAGGAAAAAAAAAAGACTGATGCGTTTGTATACGCGACGTTCTACGCCCGTACCGCAAGTGCCCCCTCCCCTCCCCGACATGCGCACACAGCCACATGTGTGCAGGCCGCCCATCCGACCGCGATACACGCCAGAGTAGACACGTGCACATGCCAACAACACATGTGTTGGTATGTAAAAAGGCCGCTGATTGGTCGCATGCAATCGGCTAAATGAATAATGGTTCCCGATGCAGGTGCAATGGATGGTTTCCGCGAATAGATAAAGTTCGTTCTGGGAGAAAAATGAGCGAAGCCACATCTGCGGGGACTGTTCACCCTGGAAGTGACCTCGTTGAATCCGAGCTCGCTGATTTCAGTGCTCGTTGAATCCAGGTTATTTTTTATTGATTTTAAAGAAGAAAAAAACGGGGAATCTATCTCATCTCGTTGAATCCGAGTTGTCGTTGAATCCGAGCTCGTTGAATCCGTGTTCCACTGTATTAAAATGTTATAAATTCGTGGTATACAAAAGTTATTATTAATAACGCTATTCACAATTTATTGTAAAGGCCTATATAAAATCAAAAATTCTGTTAAGATTAATGATGGAGAACATTAAAAATACTTCCTTCGGGTCTCTCTTAAGTCTGGACATTCAGTTGAGAGGTATCAAATGGAGAAATCTGTGTTGCACCTGACAAAGAACGGTTTTTCATCTCCCTGTAGGAGAGGTGTGTCCGATACGTAATCGAGTAAAAATGACTTCATCTCGTGGACCCAGTTTGGGCATGATGTTGTGAAGTTTATTGTTTATTTGTTTCTCCCAATGTGTCTCCCACAGAATGTAGTGCAGTTTTTTACTTTATTTTTAAAGTCAGTCTGTGGGAGAGTGTTGGTCGTTGATCCCAACAGAAGGGACAAGAATTCCTTCGCCAGGAAATCCACCTCCTCGTTTTCTCGGATGCCCACATGGCTAGGTAGCCATGCAAACACAATACTTTACCCAGTTTCAGTCAAAGCGTGTATTTTTCGTTGTAACTTAGTAACCTAACTATTTTTGGGTGTATGAGAGTGAAATTTGTAAGTGAGGTGATGCAAGACAGAGAGTCAGAAAGGATAAGGAAAGATGTGTTAGGGGAATTTTCTACGGAGTTCAATGCCATGTGGCCTCCGCAGAGAAAAAGGAGGCTTTCGGATGGAGTCTCCTCTGGTGTGTCCATAATGGAGTCCGATTTAGAGCCACCTGTGAAGATTAGCTCCACACTGGGGTATTTTTCTATAAAAGTTTTTTTTGTATTCTGCTTTACATGTGTTGGTGTTTGTGCGTGCGTTGCTGTGTGTGGACAGCTGTAAGTCAACTTCTTCCTTGGTTAGGGGCACATCGCTCTGATTACCAGAGTTGTGCCAGGGCTACCCCCTGAGTCATACTCTCCACGAGAGTGTACGGGACCCTCCAGTCAGGATTGACCCAGGGACTGAAGTGGGCTTCAGCTCCCAACACCGATTGAGTGGCATGGGCCTTGCCACCCTCCTGTCTAAGAGGAAAAACCTGGGCCAAAGAGGTGTACTAGTGAGGGACAGTCCACAGACTGATCTCACCTCACGGTCAATGAGGCGCCCACTTCCTGGGTTGGATGACCTCTAGTTTTGCTGCTAATGAGATCAGTGGTGGAAGAAGAGATAGAAGAAGAAAGGATGAAGGAAGGAGAAGAGGAAGATACACCAAAGTAGATCTCACACATGGATTCCAGAGGGTTGGGGTCTATGTGAAACACTTCATCATTGGAGGGGTTTCACCTCCTGCAGACAAGGGGCTGTCATAGCTTTTATTATTAAGTACAAAGTAACATATATCTTTCACCATCACTCACTCGATCATATTAATGACCCTCCCTGTCAAAATCAGTCATATGAAGGAAATTTCAAAAACTCCATAATTTCCAAAAACTATCACCATTTCACTACAATTTGGAAAAATAATGAGGTAAATGAGACAATATCTGAGGAAAATATGGAGCTTTTAAGTATGCAACTTGAAAAGGAGAAAACGGGCTCTGAAGTTGAGCAACATGCTTCCATAGCAACTAGGGTCTTAGAATTTAGATAAAGACTTGAAATTTTGAAGTTATCTTGGCTATGCCACTACAAGGCAACACACAGAAGTAGAAAACTATTCTTTCACAGAAAAAAAGCTTATGGAAAAAACAAAATTTTAACGAGAATGGTCTTCACTTCAAAAGCAACAACATGTTAGCATTGTAGGCCCTACTAGGTACCAGAAACTGAATTTTCAAAGCAGCTGTATGTCAAATTATCTGTTCCATATGAAAGGCAAGTGTCTCCTGTGAATTTTGGTACCCTACTTCTACCTCTCAGTCAATTGTTAAGAAAATGGAAGCTGTTTTAATTTAATATATAATAGAATATTGCTAAATTCGCTAACTGGCTGCAACCCCATGCTTGACAGATAATAAAAGAGTACCGAGTGCCCTAAACATCTCCACATTTTAACAGTGTACATATCACTATTACATAGAAATGGAGCCAATTTTTTTTCAAGACTGTGAGATCATTACAAATCAATATTTTATCGCCTCAAACACGATGATCTGTCGTTATGCCAATAAAAAAAAAAAACACTGAGCGCTGTCACTTTTTAGCCTTTAGAGTCTCGTAGCTCCAAATAGCACTTTGTGTTTTATGACTGATTATGACCGGGGTGGACACATTTATAATAATAATAATTGCATTTATATAGCGCATATCCATGCTCAAGAGCATGCTCTATGCGCTTTACAACCATTATTACCCCAGCAGACCCTCTGAGAACACTCAGAAACATACTCGGCTTCCGCGGAAGCATATAGTGCAAGCTGCGGATTTCACGCGCTCAAACACTATCAAACTGACAAGATCGTTCACTGTCTATAGCCGAGTACCCATTTCCACCCGGGTGAAGTGAGGAAAATTTGTGCGAAGTGCCTTTCCCAAGGACACAACGTCGGGCCTCTGACGGGATTCGAACCCACGACCTCAAGGTTGCGAGTCCGAGAGCTTAACCACTAAGCCACCGACGCCACATTATAACAGCAAACGCCACTCGCCTCTTTTGAATACAGAGAAGCACATCGACACAATAATAGTCATTTAGTAGTGGGAAAAAGTAAGACAGACAGACATAAACAACAAAGGGAAAGTAAAGAAGGACCTACTACTGGTGCCCTCCACCAACCACCCACACACTCCCTTCTTATCAGCTGTAATGAATTTAAATGCTTTACATGCCTATCAACGCAATAGAAATTGAGAAGCAGCCAGCGTGGTGAAATCAGGCGCTCGTCAAAATAATTAAACCGGAGAAACAGACATTTTTATACCAGTTTAGAAATTTGTTAAAAAAATTTAATTTTTGGCTTAACCTCTTTTATGTCCACATAAAAACACATTTCCATGTGAATTTTACTGAAAAACATTGGTTAACACTTTGCCCTCACGGGAAGCCGGAGTGATATAGCGTGTACCGCACTTGTATCATGGTCCGTGGGAACAAGTGTTGCGCGCTCTACCCGCTGCGTGGGTGGAAAATGTTAAAGGCACAAAACATGTCATTTTTCAGTTTTCAAAGACTTTTTACCTATTTGGAGTTTCCAAAATTAGGGGGCCATTTTCTCGCTAATTTCACCAATGAAACCAGGCGACCTCACTACCTTCATTCGCCACGGCGCACCGGTAGAGGAATTTTAGTTGTAGCGGGGGGGCTCCCCGCCGAGTGCCTTATCACGTCGGGGTCACAGAGGTCAGCTCCCTGTCGCCGCTCGGTCTGGGCTGACTTCATATTAGGTACTTTTCAACATACAGTTTTAGGCGTATCCTTTTATTTATGGTATTCATCATTTAATGCACCCAAAGCACGCATTTTTGCTCTTGAGACCCAAGAAACAACAGACATTGTAACTTGTCTGGTTATTTTGTTAGACGCACTGAAGTCAGCAATGCTAAATTGTAAAAATTTTTGTACAAGTGTGAATGAAAAAAATCAATATAAAATAAAAAGCAAGACAAAAACTGTCGAATTTTCAAACATGAACGACATAGTATTAAAATTAAATGGTATAGGTTTAACGCCCCTATCAACACTAAAGTAGCCTAACCACTAGGCTACCGACGCCACTCGACATTGCATTGGTGCAGATACCCAGAAAAGATGGTATCTGTGCGTATAATAGGAAGCTGTAATTTTGCAACTTTATCCATCTGGGCACAATTCACTATAAAGTAATTCCTCCAAATACAACTGTATGTGTCTAATATAATCGAGAATATTCGCATATTTTCTCTAAAGTTTATCAAAATTACCCTGACGTCTCTCTATGAAAAAGTGCAAACCTATTTTAGTGCCAGATTACATCTACAACAAATACACGAACAGTATACTATCAATCAGTAACGCTCCATAAATTATTGCTTATTTTTCTTAAAATGCTAGATCAAGGTTTTGTAAGTTGACTGAATAACAGGGATGACTTCTCGTGATTGTATTAGAATAATTTCTAGCTTTCCAGTGACACTGAATCAGCACCAGGCTTTTCCAGCTTTTATTTTCGTTTCTATAACAATTTGCAATAACTGACAATGTTCTGATTTCTTCACATTCATAAGTGCCCGTGCATATGTCCGACACAAAAACTAAGAATGAATGTTAGCAGTCATTACTTTTATGCCATACAATAAGTTCATCTCTACCCATGTATTAACACACTTTTGTGTTTTTAAAAAATCTCAGTATATCTTTCATACAACTGTATGCAGGCTGCCACAGACACAGCATGATTCATGAACAAACGCAGAGTAACTTTCTCTTGTTTAATGGTAGAACAAGAGCTAACGCTGAATGTCTTTAGTTCAAAAATGCAGATGCGCATATTTTTTCTCTTATAACTTGACTATTACTACTAGCGCAGATTTAAGATTTCTCATGGTAAAAGACGTGATATTCGTAGTCAGTTTAACACAGATTTTGGAGAGATCTGTCGTGCCTTTTCAAAATAAACAATAATATATTCATAAGTATGTAACTAAAATAGGACAAATTGGGTACTCTACAAACACTTATCCAGCACAAAAATTAAGGCACAGAAATTAACCATTCTAACGCAGATTAAATCTCAAGACATTGAGCTTTTAGAACATGCGCGTAATGGTTTGCTGTGTGGAATGGGGAAGAAGTTATATCGTTTCAAACGTAGACAAAAATGAGAACTTCTTAACCAACAGCGGCAAAATCGCTTCAGGGCTCATTAAACCCGTGACCCCGAGCCGGGGAGCTCCGGCAGGCTGCTGAGTCACACTGACTTAAGGTAACAGAATTGGGCGAAAAGTGACGTCATGTCGTAAATATCTTGAGTTCTATTCAAGATAAACGGATATTTATTTCATAGGACGCAAGGCAAAAAAATCAGCTTTCAGATGAAACCAATAACTCCAAATGCCAAAAATTGATAAGCACCTGATTCCACGGCGTCGTGACACAATTTAAGAGGCAAGATGTTTCAACACTGCCTTTTAGGGTCAACCTGGGATGTGCTGGATACCGCACCCTAGCAGAAAGACAAAGGCACTAAATAAAATATCGCCCTCTGGAGTTATTACCAGTTTCTGAAATCCTGCAATCCAGCACCCCGTTTTCCAATAGGGGTGGGGTGGTAATGTGTCTTCCTAAAGAAAACACCAAAGTAACTTTTCATCACAAAATGATCCACTATCTAAAGGCCACCAGTGGAATGATGTTTAATAGCCACAAGCAGAAAAGTGATTGAATGTTTGGTGAAAAAAGTACCAATCGATTTTGAATCAAAGTCGAGACATTTGCAATTGAAGGAGGTGGAGTCCGCCTGGTATGAGAGGCAAAATAAGCGAGAAAATGGTCAAAAGTCTGGTGACTTCCAAAGCTTGAGTGTCCTCGGAAACTGGAAATTTACTTTTTTATTGCCATAAATAAACGTTCTTCGGTAAAATACACACAGAAATACATTTCTAAAAGGATGTAAAAGGTGTAGAGTTAAAAAAAAGAAAATTTGAAAAAAAAAAGGTCAAATGACCAGAAAAATGCCGGTTTGATTTCATTATTTTGACAAGCACCTGATTCCAACACACAGTCTCACATTTCACATAAGGAAAAACGACTTCAAACTATATTTTAAAAATTGGACCTAAATTTCAAAAACGAATATCATTTTCGAATTCAGTATCCCCAAATTACTTTTAAGCCGAAAGCAAATTTTTTGTAAAGTATGAGACAAATTAATACACAGAAACGCATCCTCATTCCTTGTCATAGATCAGATAAAGTAAAACCTGCAAAACTTTAGCATATGTTTGGCCCAGTAGTCAACTGAGCATTTTCACTAGGAAGAAAAGATGAAGAGACAAGATATAACAGAGACTGTCACACATCAACAACTCCGCTTACTTTTTCACCATTAGAGAGATCTCCATGTATTAACCCCCCCACCCCCAACACAAACACAGAATCTTCTTCCGACTAGGAAGGATGAACTTACTATACATATCCTTGAGTCCATGTTGGCATTCACGCAAACTTTGTTGAAGAGAATTTTTTCCTTGCTGTAGTAGAAAGTCATGTCATCCAGCTGGAGGATAGGAGGAGAGAGTTTGTCGCAGTCTTGGAACCTGAAACAACATTCAGTTAGAATACAATTATTACAATGGAGTCCACTTAACAAATGAAGACTTTGCAGGAGGAAACAGAGGAGTCACATTTGCAATTATTCAGGGCTATACTGGATATGCACTATTACTTTAGTTTTTCAGTTTTGGTTTTGGCAGAGTTTTTACAGCGCTCCCAACTGCATAAGGTCATATGAGCGCCAAGGGGTGGATGTCAACAGAGAAGTCCTTACAGGGAATCAGACTTACTCTGCTCACCTCTCTAGCTTCAACAGCACAAAGTCTGCTTCGACTATTAAGGCACCCGGAAAATAGTTGTTTGTTTTAGTAGAGGTTTTACGGCGCTCGCAACTGTTTAAGGTCATATGAGCGCCAGAAGATTAGAGGTGTTACAAGAGAGTAACAAACATAAAAAAGAAGGAGGGGAGATAAGGACGATAGATGTTTGATAGGAAAGAAGAAGCAAACCACATCAGAGCACCTGCCAACCACCCACCCCCGGAAATAGCGGTCACAAGAGTGTGACAAACATACAAAAGAAGTAGAGGAAAAATGACAATTAGTAAAAATTGGGAAAGAAAAAGCAGCAGTTCCCTGTTGCAGTTGAGGTACAGTTATGAGCATGACATTGATGAATCAGCCCATTTACAATTCTACTGTGCTTAAGAAAATATTAATGTCCCCCCCTTGGGAATGGCCTAAAGACACTTCAGTCAGTTGCATTGCCTCGGGGGGAGTTACTATGGTTTAACATAACGAGTGCCTACCATTTGCTTGTTTGTTTGAGTAAAGAGAAGCACATTGACACAATAATGGTCATTTAGTGGTGGGAAAAAGTAAGACAGACAGACAGACAGAAACAAAACAGGAAACGTAAAGAAGTAGGACCTACCAGTAGTGCCTTCAAACCACCTGCATCCACCATTTAAAAGGGACAAAAATGACATGGACTTTAAACAAAATAAACGGAGAAATTTTGGTACTTCTTCAGGGCAAGAAGTCCTGAACTTTAAAAGAAAATTTTCAAAAATCACAAAAATTGAGACTGTTGTTTTTTCCCCTGTAGTCTTTAAACAGATTGCTTGAAATCTTCCCATTTTACCTTAATAGGCCTGAGCCTGATTACTGTCACTCTTCTGCTCACCAAACAGCAGGGTATATTTAGCAGTTGACACACAGAAACTCAGGCATACACATTCAGAAGAGAGGGGATTTTAGGAAGTGCAGATGATTGATGACAAAATGGGTGTGGTCTGCCATGTCTATTTCAGCTCAACATATGAGGAGTCCATGGGAAAAACAGGAAGCCACAAACTGAAAATCATGAGGGTATCAATTTTGAATGCTTGTTGACTCACAACAGTATTTCTGTTCAACTTTTGGTTGATTATTATTGTTAGAATTCCCATTCAACAAACATAACAGTAAACTATCAGTCAAACAAATAATACAGACCTCCACATAAGTCAAGGACCACCTCGACAGACAGTCATGATTTTTTTTTAATCCGAAAAAAAAAGACAGCACGGAATGTTTCAAAATTTTTTGCTCTGAAAGTGTTAATGGGTTACCAATGCGTGCAGCAGTCTCTGCCTAAACGCACGCCATACAAAAGCATGCTCCGCTCAAATGCACGCTTTCATCATCCGACGGGTTTTTTTACTATATAATTTAGATGTACAAACGCACGGTCACCCCTTCTAAACGCACGCTCCGATCTGCGAAACACGCTGACAGGTAAAGCTTGACCAAGGGAAATTGTCACTACGACTACTGTACGATCTGCACAGCTTGCATAAGACAAGCCAAGAAAAACGGATATTAGGCGAGACTGCCCCTTACGCCAAACAAAGAGAGTGATGGACAACGTTTTCACACCCAACTTTCCAGACACATAGGTCCTCGACTGGTCGGTAAAATGTTGGGGGGTTGGGGGACTGAATCGTTATTTGATTGGTCACTGGAAATGCATCTCTTAGAGAGAAGGTTTCTGACTGGTGTTTGAGTGACTGCTTGTTGGCTAATGTTTACTTAGACCTAAGCCTATGATGCGCAACACGTGTGAATTCTCATTCATGAATTTACAGTCGGGGGTGGTTGCTTGGAAAGCCACATAGCAGAGCCGTCGTCTCTATGACTATCACCAACAATTTTTTTTTAAGCTATCGGTTCCCGACATTTTATGGTGCATTCAATACATCGAGTCTGCCCTTCTGCCCCCCCCCCCCCCCCTCACAGCCACACACACGGACCCATTCAACGCCTTTGCAGTCTTAACCACAGTCGGGGAATCTTTTACAAAACCGTCACGTGTCGTCACATTATCGGCCCAAAGTGACCCCCACCCCAAAAGGAGGTCACTAGAATAACAAGGCAAGGAGATGACAGTGTGCCTTCCTCCCTTTGCTAAGGTTCATGTAAACCCACGCTCCGTATAAACACACGCTAAGGAGCCCTCCCGAGCACCGTGCGTTTAGGCGGAGACTACTGTACAGCAAAGCTTCCTAAACCACCACATGCAGCACGGAAATCCTCAGGGAATTTTAGCCAAATTTGCTGTTTTTTATCGACTTTTGCGAGATATCATGGACACTCCTCAGTTAAACTGTCTGATGCATGTCATAACCGGACGTACGTTCTTGAACTGTGCTCACTTTGTGACAACATTAGCCCCCGTTTGCGCAAATTCCAGTATCGCATCAACATGCTACCAAGACGGAAGCTGAGAGACTTTGATCGTGCCACAGCTATGGCATGGCTGCAGGATGGCGTTGGAGCATGAGAAGTTGCCAGAAGGCTTGCAACGTCACACTCTGTCATTGTCCGCTTGAGGCAGCACCATCAAGCCACTGGATCAGTCCAAGAACGCCCACGTGCAGCCGACCTAAGAAGACCACTCAGGGTGTTTGCAAGTGGTCCTTAAGTTGAAGTCTGTATGAAGTTATGAGTCTCCAAGCTTTTAAAATTGACGCCCTCACAAACTATGCCTGTTTTTCCCATGAACTCTTCATATTTTAGTCCCGATGCAAACTATTCCAGGCAAAAAATGGTCACCATTACATTGTTTTCTGTAAATGACCATTTTACTCCCCTCAAAGAGATATAAAAATATATTATTGGCGAGGTGTTAAAATGTCACAAGCCCAGAAAACAACATTCTTCAGGACAGAGAGAAAACAGTTTCGAAACTGATGCAGAGAGAAGATAAAGATATTTATTGGTTGAGATAAAATTATTTCATGTAAAGATGTTTTTGTAATGAGATCATTGGCTATGCACAAGGTTCGATCCCCTTTTAGGACTGATAAATCAAGCCAATACTCACTGCTGTTTATTGTGTCAAAAGCCTGGTTTGCTAGAGGACAAATCAGTATACAGCTTACCACAATTTTTATAGATATTATTGACAGTTTGTAGACCTTTAAAAGATGGAACACAAAAGATATAGGCACTGTTAGACAAGAAACAAGAAATGGTTTTTGAAGAGACTGGTTTACTAGTTAATTACACACATAGTCAAATACGCTCTTGTCAATTTTTAGAACATTCTTACACATAATAAAGTGATCTGATTAATGTGAAGAATAAGAAATTACAGAGATTAAAAGTAAATTTTAAGTTCTGGATAATGACTCATTTTTTGTATGTTTCTTTTGTGTTAAATTAGAGACCAATGTTTTTAATTTATTTATCGTAATAGCATTTGAAATTTGCTAAAATGTTATATATAATACATGTAAATCTGTTAAATGGTAATCGGAATATAATTACATTTTCGTCTAAACTGCATCCTAATTCTGACACAAAAATCAGTGCAAAAAATGGACCAAATGAAGGCAAAATTTCCATAACGAAAATGTTCATAACTTTGGAACAACTAAAGATGATTACACAATTAAAAAAGCATGATTATCTGGAAGGAAAAACCATTTTAAAGCCTATTTTTGAAAATATCCAAGCAATTTGAAATTTTCACTGAACTGCCTAAGTTGAAAGAGAACATTGCAAATCAAATTGGCTATATCGGCCAGCACTCATGTACACAAGTGATTTGCAGCTTTTAAAAATGAGTGCCCATATAAATTTATCACTTTGATTTGAATTTTTACTTAAACTTTAAACAGGGCTGCCTACCTCAAAGTTCCCATTTAAGGTAGATTCAGGGTCATTTTCAGGTAGATTGGCCCAAAATCAGGTAGTACAAAGACAAAGAAGAAAAAAAAAGATGATCGTTGCCCCATCGAACGCGCTTGCTTTCCGTGATATTGGGTAATTATATTTTGAAAACTTATTTGTGCATGTTTGTGTGTGTGTGTGTGTGTGTGTGTTGTGTGTGCATGTTGTCATGCTCTCGCATGTGTCCATATATGTGCATGGGGAAGGAAGGGGGTGTATGGGTGTGCACAAGTTACGATAAACAGTGTGTATGAAAGGAGGCGAGGTTGTTTTAAAAAAAAAAAAAGATTTTATGGATTATCGTTCAAGGCACCTATCATTCAGTATTGAATCTGGAATTGAGTTCAGGGTGATTGCCAAACTGACTTCAAAACCCCTTGAAATACCAATAGAACTAAATTAAAAAATAATTTTCCCGACACTAGCATAGAACACTGATAAGTCCTTCGTGACTTAGGTATGACAGACAATTCATTTTAACGAGTTTTACCCTAAAAATACAAAATGAATCCTGATCTGGGCCTGAGGAGAGGCAAGAAGAACATCAACTGCCAAAACCATGTTTGGTTTCAGCAATCAAGGATTTTAAAAAGCATGCAAATGCAAGACAAAACTTATTTATAAAACCTTTATAGTTAGGCTCACGGCAGAGCAAAAAGTGAAAATAAAAGAGAGCGTGTACCGATAGAGCCGGAGCTGGAAGGACTGTGAGAGTGTGGGATGTAGCGATGCTGAAAACCTGGCAATCAGTGAACCACTGCATCATGGACTAAGTATTGATTTTTTTCAAACTGCTAAATCACAGTACCAGTATTTAATCAGCAACAAGCCATCATGATGCATAGGCATCCAACATAGAGCTTTCTGAGGGTTGAAAATGGCATTTTCTCATTGCACCTATTCAATTTGTCATCACTGACAAATCCGGAAACACCAACCTTGAAGATACAATCATCACACCTGTGCTCAAATGTTCCCACATTTACGCACTCGATTGTCGAAGGTCAAAACCACTTCCACTTATCGTTTTCATTTTAGCATCAGTTTCTTGCACCGCAGCCTTTTACTGCTGCCGTAGACTTTAAGGCATCAAACACCTCCCCTCAATTCTGACGCCCTGCAACACACCTACTTTGAATTAACTTTGATTAGGCTTTCCCCAACAACCACCGGCCGGTCCCTTGCTCAAGCCGTACTCACGAACTCTCACAGGTTCATTGACCAGTCACGATGACGACAATCTAGAAATTGGAGGACGCGTGTTTTCTTTTTCTCCCTTTTTTGGTCATTATAGTGACATCAGTGAGAATATCGATTTAATGTTTATGGATACACTGTGCTTTTTTCGCACAAACTGCAGGTTACAAATTTTTATTAACTGTAAATCTAACGTCAACGAACTATCATTGGACAATTATCTGAGCGGTAGCGAAAGCAGATTTTGATTTTCCCAATGGAAAATTTCAGTATTACACCTACACTTCCGCCTGCCGCCATAGCCGCTCATTCACGCGAAACGTACTCTCGGACTGGGGAAAGCCGAACGTAATATCACAAACGCGACCACTAAAATATGGAACTCAGAAGGCTTTTCAGATTTGGTTTCGAGGACTTTGTGCATTTTGCGATTTTTTTTCTTCAGATTCCCGGGTAATAAATTCCTGCAGTCCCCTGGCGTAGAATCCTTTTTTGGTACTGACCAATTCTCTAGACCAAGACAGATTTTAGAATGTTTTGCTTCGATACTGATTTTCCTTCTATATTCACAATTCTGTTTCCTGGATAAATGAATTAAATGCACAGATTTTCCAGCCGCAGCAAAAACTGAAGATAGAAAGAAAGAATGAATGAAAAGAAGGACGAAGATTATCTATTGTGAGTAGACAGATTTCAGCCGATATGCATGTGAAAAAACTATTGCTGACCGAACAGCACAGATAGACAATGGTCAAGTGTACGAAATGCGCAATCTGGCAGTTTCTAAAACAACTTATTGCCGAGAGTTGCCGTAAATATCTGACAAGTTACGGAGGCAAGTGCTGCTGCTCTCTCTCTCTCTCTCAACGCATGGAGTTGATAATGATATGATGATGCGGCAAGTACGGAACATTCGGAATGTACGGATTTCCGTAAAAACAAAGAAGAATGGAAGCACTGCAGAATGGTTTTTTTTTCTGTTTATTCTCTCGGCACCCATCGAAAATCCGGTAGTTTTGACACCTTATCGGTATGTCGGTAGAACAGGCCCAAAATCGGTATCTACTGGAAAAATCGGTAGATTTAGGCAGCCCTGTTTAAAGTTAAATGTTAGTGTAAAAACTTTTACTGAATAACCGATGAAAAAGTGTAGCGTTCAGGCATTTCATTGTGCATGTGTTACAAATTTTAGGTATAAATTTTTATGTTTTCATTTCTTTTTTCGAAAAAGTTATTCATTTTAAACTTTGACATACCCTGTTTGCATAGTTACATTTTCAGATTCCAAAGTACTGATTTAAATTTATGAAAACCATTAGATTTATTTGGTTTTAGAGGCAGACCTTTTCTTTGCCGTCACCCTGTTCAACAATAAAATCACACACTTTAACTCCTTGTCTCAGTCAAGCCGTACCCAGCAGCTCGCGGTCGGAACCGCTGCGCTGGTGAACCGCAATGCAGTGGCTCTGGCACATTCCTTTACGGCTTCAACATCAAATTACTTTTCGCCAATTTCCGAAAACAGCTCTCTTTTACTGGTTGTTCATTCACAATATGAAATATTATCAATATATAAGTTCACTTGTTTCGACTTCATGACCAATTTGGTGAAGTATATGTCACTTTAAGATTTCATACAAAAAAAAAGGGCCCCTGCATGGTGGATTTACTCCCCTTGGAGATAAAGAGTTAAACCTAGTTGTGAAACAACAATAAAACTTACTTTATTACCACTTCAGTCTCCTTTTCCACTGGTTTCAGCTCAGGTCTGTTGAAACAGAAATGGCAAACATTATCATCTCTTAACAAAACAACTTCCTGTTGTATTTTGAGCAAAGCAGCTTCATGTGACAAAGGGAAAACAGAGCAGATAACATTTTATATACCAACAAAGGACATACTACAAACCAATGATTTTTTTTTTTCAAATGATATGGATACCCACTGGTCTGTTCATGTAACCCTCCATCCCCCGCCCCCAACACACACCTAAACAAGATGATAGTATTGCTTTCCTTCAGCCTTCCTCAAAAATAACCCAAAGCTAAAATGATAGATGTAATTACAACGTACCTATGTTTTTTATCCGGGCTACGAGTATACTCATAACGAAGACCAGTCTGGGCTACGAGTATACCCGGAACAGCGATACGCTCACGTCAAAAGAAGCTAGTTCTGCTTGTAATTACCAAAATACGCAAATACGGCGATGCTAACTCAGTCTGAATATTTTAAAATTCCAATGAACAGCAGTTTCTTTGTTTTTGATTGGTGTAGAAGCTTGAAAGTTGTCTCGAAAACACACGTTCACGACCAACGAAGTACTTTTTGAAGTGGCACTGGGTTGTGAGGGGGAATGATACTAATTTGATGAAAGTGACTCTGAATCAAGGGCTGTAAATTCCATTGTGGATGATAACAAACAGGATTTAGACTCATCTAATAGCGATTCAGATCACGGTGAAGGGGTCAGTACTGGAATCATGCTGTATCGATGGGTAGGGCTAGATCCATAAATCCAATGGGACGTCATGGGCATGGCAATCAGGGTCAAGTTGGAAGGTGGAATACACCTCAAAATCTACATTCTGCAATTGGTGTAATTCCTAACCACATACATTCACAAAAACTACATTCAATTTCTAACAACTGCCAAATTTCCTTAAAACGTAAGAGTAAACATAAGAGATAGACCACTTTGAAATATACACACTGAATTCTAACTCATATTGCGCGGCAGCCCCAGGACGGGGACAGAGTCAGCGGGGGCACGGCCAGGATAAAAAGAGTTAAACTGAAGGTTTTATATGAAAATAGCAATTAACAGAAGGAAAATATAACCCCCAAAATTTTACTTCGATTTGATCAACCCCCCTAAACCAAAAACCCGCTAAACATAAGAAAATCAGGCAGTCCCACAGATTTCAGTTTAATACACTGATATATTGTTGGATGAAGCATTGCCATTTTGACCACACAGCAATATATCGGTGTTAAGCAGTGGGGTCGGAAAATGACTTGTATATATTGTATAAACCCCAGTTTATATTTTTTATGAGAATAAAAGTTGATATAAAATCTAGGAACAGAGGGGAACTAAATTTAAATCAAAACATAGGGTCGTATTGGCAGTTTGAGATTGCTTTCACAGAGGTTTCTTCTTGTTTTTGAAGGCAATTTCAAATCCAGCTGATGAGGCTGGGCTGAGCAATGATAGTAGCCCTCTGCGTAGACTGAAGAAGAACATAATTTGTGAAGTATTATTTTAGAAAATGGATGCAATGACAGTGATTGAGGAGAGATGAAAAGTGTCAAAAGCATGTCACGATGCGGAGGTATCAGGTGCTTGTTAATTTTAAGGCATATAAAATTATCAATATCATCTCTTAAAGTTTGTTCACTTGTCTTGCATTTCGTGAAAAAAACCCCCATCTGTCTTAACAGAAGTCAATATATTTGCAATTGAAGGAGGTAGGGGCCGCCAGGTATGAGAGGTAAAATTAGCGAGAAAATGGTTGCCAAAGTTTGGGGTCCTCCCAAGCTTGAACATTTTTGGTAAGATCCACACAGAAACGAGTTTTTAAAAGGACATAAAAGGTGTTGAGCCAAAAAAAAAATAAGTAAAAAAAAAATTGTACAATGCTAAAAAAGAAGCGGGTTTCTTTGATTTCATTGTCTTTAGTTTAGTTTAGAAAAGAGTTTTATAATGGCTCTCACAACTGCATAAGGTGATATGATGCATTCACAACAGTTCACAGAACGGCTTGGTTTTGGACAATAATCAGATTAAATGGTTAAAAATTTCAATCCTAAAAAATAACAATTTACATTTAATTGAAATAATATAGTTTTTTCAGATCAAATGTACACATAGGAAATACAAACGCCACATAGGAAATACAAATGCCACATAGCAAGTTCAAATGCCACATAGAAAGTTTCACGCCACATAGAAAGTTCAAATGTTCAATAGGAAATTTTAGTGCACGATTGTGCGTAACAAGTTCAAATGTACAAATAGCAAATCCAAATGTAACGCAATAGCAAGTTCAAATGCCAAATAGCAAAAGCAAATATCCTCCACAAAGATTATTCAGCGTGAAAAGCATTGTAATGTGCTCAAACTGAGTTGACGACAATCATAAGCAGTTTAATTTTAAGGTGAATTGATCACCATTTAAAAAATCCCAAGGATACTCCCGAAGAAAAACATTCAGATAGGACTGAAGCAACTAGACATCAATATGCAGCATGGCTGATGCAGAACATTTAGCGGTATGAATTTGCCTTCATCGATGAGGCTGGTAGCAAGCTGTTGACGAAGAAAAACCGATGAAGAGCACAGAGTGGTCAATGCTTTTTTCGAGTAATGCAGGGTCGAAGGGGACCGAACTGTACGATGCCACAGGGGCCTAATTTGCTGTCAGTGACGAGGGTGGCCTGGTCTTTCACGACTTTCAAGTAGAGGGAATGGCAGCTTTCGTTTCAACCCATCCATCTAAGAAACTGGTCCAACAATCCCCACAACGAAGTATGCTTTGTATGTAACAATGCTCGTGCACAAAGGCAGGCTTTAAATGGCAACTCATCAATAGATTGGGGAAGAAATATCTACCCCCCAACACACCTTTTCTTAACATCTACGAGTACGAGAACGCTTGTGAATTTGGAAATACGATTTGAAACCGTGGCTCGGTGAAGCAAAAGACCAAATGCTCACTCAGCTGACTCATCAACAAAGGATGGTCACACTTGCCCAGACGATGGAGCAAAAAAGTCAAGCTGTGACTATAGTGAAAATGGCAGCAGCCTTCAGATCAATGCAAGCTTATAAGCCACAGCGTTTTGTCGTGCAACAATAAGTTAGTAAATAAAAGTAAACTTGGCTTTAGATTTCACTCAGTTAGTTCTATAATATACCAACAGTTTTTTTAATTAGTATCATACCATTCCTTTTGGTTTGAACATGTGGGTTTATTTTCGGTTTTTAACATAATTCAACTATTAGTTTCGTCTCACATGATTTCTTCCTTGTGTCACCACACAGCTTGTCTAACTTTTTCGAGGCCATAAAAACCCAAACCCTTCTATATACTTCTTATACTTTTAGCCTCCTTTTTAGTTTTAGTAAGAGTTTTACGGCACTTGCAACACAATAAGGTCATATAAGTGCCGAAGATTAGAGGTGTTACAAGAGAGTAACAGACACAAAAAAGGAGGAGAGATCAGGATGATAGATGTAAGATAGTAAAGAAGAAGCAAAGCACACAGGAGCACCCGCCAACCATCCACTTAGCCTCCTTTTACTCTAGTTCAAGCATATTTACATTTGAACTTGTTATGTGGCATTTGAATTTGCTATGTGTTACATCTGAGATTTCTATGTTTACATTTAAACGTGCTATTGTTGTATTAGGACTTTTTATGACGTCATTTGTATATTTGGATTTGCTAGGCGTAATTTGGTCTTTCTATGCGGTCTTTGAATTTGTTATGTGTATATTTGAACTGAAAAAACTGTAATATTTACATTTCACTGTAAAAGGCCAGTGGCCTTTATAAAATCTAGGATTCTGTTGGGATCAACGATGGAGAACAGATCTTTCAAATTTCTACATTTAAAATACTTTCTTTCAGTCTCTCCAAAGTCCAAACATTTTGTTTCTCATATCCATGCAAGAGGTACTTGTGTGTTAGGGAGGTATGTCCAATACCCAATCGAGTAAAAATTACTTCTTCTCTTCTGGAGAAGCCTGAAAGTTTTCGTGGGCCCAGTTTGGGCATGATACTGTAGAGTTTGTTGTTTTGTAGTTCATTCCAGTGTTTCTGAAACTGACTGGAGTAGTAGTTTAAAACTTTATCATTAAAGTCTCCGTGGAAGGTTGTTCTTCGTTGACCCCAACGGAAAAGACAAGGATTCTTTAGCCAGGAGATCAACCTGCTCGTTTCCACAGAATCCCACATTGGTAAGAAGCCATGCGAGCATAATATTCTTTCCCGGTTCCATTAAAGTGTGGATTCTCAGTTGCGAGTATCTCCATCTGTGTTCCAGAATGAGATTAACACTACAATTAAAACAAGAGGACCCCTAGCAAAATACTCTGAAAAGCACAACAAACGAGATGTCCTATACAAAGTGTATGACTTAAAGGGGTTTGGGAATGCAAGTGACCCATCTGGAAATGATGACTGTATGGTCAGTATAAGGGATTGGGCCCTTGTGAGTTGTGATGAGAAAGAATACCAAAGAGAAGTGACAGGGAAAAGTGTGAAGGTGAATGCCATGTCAAATTTTACAGAAACCTAAAAGTTCCTTGGAACGAGAGATGAAATTTACTGTACTATGATTCTTTTGGTCTCAGGTCAGTTTAAATTTCAGCTTTAAACTTCAGTTTGTTCCATTGTGGTATGCTTCAGAGTTGCAAACTTCTTTTCTTTGCCCATTTCTATCATTACTTTGAAGATTTGCATATTTTGTATGAATGTGACATACATAACTTTTGATGTAACACATGTAACGCTACGAGTTTTACATGAATTCAATCCCATTCTAAAAGATTCAGGGACTGGTTTCACAAGAACTTATATTACTGAGTTATGTTCTATCGTCAACTTAACACTTTCATGGAAAGCATTTGATTATAGCTCTTTTTTTAATTGTGAAGAAAAACTTCCGTATGTATTGTTTTACGTGTGTTACAATGCCATGAGAGGTGGAGATTATGTCCAATATGGTCATAACATATGCATTTAACCAGGAGTTGTTTTTGCATTCCAGCAAAGTACTTGCTAGGAGTGTGTACAAAAATAAATATAACAGGATTACTTTATTCTATCATTGGAAAAAAAATCCCTTACTAAATGATATTTTTGTCATTGTCTTGACATTTTTCTTTCACCCTTTTCTCCATGTGTTTTTTGTATGGAAGATATGGTTTCTACCTTTGAGTTCAGAACTACATCAATAAACCTTTCTAGTCAATATTTCACATGGTGTTTTTCACATTTTGGTGAATCGCTCATGGTATGAGTCATAAGTAGAAGACTACATCTAAAACTTGAAAAGTTGAGAAGTACAAAAAATTAAGTCAGCCCAGCCAGGGCAGCGACAGGAAGCTGAACCCTGTGACCCCGACGTGATAAAGTGCTCAGCAGGGAACTTCCAGCTGCAATTAAAATTCCACTGCTGGTGCGCCATGCTCTCATTTTTATTTTCTTGAAAACAGTGCCTTTATGAAATTTAACATAAAAACCCTAATACCGGAAGGAATTTCATCATTCTTATTTTTGTCTTTTAGGGAATGAATGTGCTACTCATAATATGAAATTTATATAATACAACCGCCTCTTTGCCTGATACATGGCTTCAAAGTTCACTTTTTGAGATTAAAAAAAAAAAAAAAATTTCCCTTCCGACTCTTTCAATTTCAAATTAGGCTATAACTACTTCCCTTTGAAAGCAATATTTTTTTTCATATATTGATTGTATATCTTCCAACCTTTCCACTGGTGTAAAAATGACATATCTCTGACAACTATTTGCATCTATAACCACCGATCACCACCTACGCTCAGATTTTAGATAGACAAAACCATTGTAGTCACAAGCCTAGGCCATGGCTGATATAAAAAGAGTTAAGCGAGCTCCACAGTACATCCATTTCACCAAGCAACTCATAAGTCTAGCTATTTCTTAGTACCAGTGTCTGTGGTGTAGTGGTTTTTAATGTCATATACCGGAGACCTGAGTTTGATTTCTGAGCGGGAAGAAAATCTTTATCGAGTGTCTCAATCTTTCTGCTGGGATGTCGTATTCCTATTAGCGTGGGTTGCCAGCCTGCCTCCTAAATGAATGAAATTGTGTCAATGGGGATGTAACAACAACTACATTCAAAATTAAATTGTTTTCTTATTCAAGCAAAAAAATTCTAAAAACAGCATTAATTTTAAAACACTCCCTTTCCAATACTCCCAAGTTACAACTAAATCTTGTTCTCTTTTGAAGAGTAGGGATTTTTAGAATCAATCATGACAAAACCCACAAGATTCATACAGTAAAATTCAAATCAGGGTCATAAACTTACAACTTCTCCAACAGTTTCAGTTTACTTTGGACTTGAGCAGCTCTGTTTGCATTGTACCTAAATCGGTCAATAAACACCTGAAAAAGAAAAGTCAATTTTTAAAAATAGCACAACAAAGAATTCAAACAAAGTATCAACAGGATTTCTCTAAAAAAATAAGCAACTCACCATTTAGTTTAATGTCATGAAAACGTAAATTGTATTCTACATAAACACGTAAACAAAGTACAGTCATTTTGGCATCAAGCCCTTGGGCAGTTTCCATTGTTTTTGAACACCGTTGCAGCAACTGGCATACTGATATTTCAAGATCTGACGTTTATGCTTTTTGGAATTTTAATGAATAATAATAACAAAGACAACACTGGTGTTTAACTCCTCCGGCCAACCATACAGCGGCACCTGGCTTCACGCACTCCCTTCTTCTTCCCTCGGTTGTCTCCTTGACAATGATAGCCTCCGTATCAGAGTGGCGACGAGACTCGGCCTCAAAGTGTGCGAGCCTCACACATGCCGTTGTGGATCATCAGGCGATAACTTTGGCCTACACTCACTGTCCTATCATCGGAGTGGTGGTCGTCTCCCATGTCATGCCGCCCTCAACGACACCGTGAAGCGTGCGTTCGATGCATCCGGCCTACATTGCATCCTTGAACCCTTCGGCCTCGACCGGGGCGACGGCAAAAGGCCGGATGGCATCATCATCTTTCCATTCAAGGGTGGCAAAAGCCTCATGTGGGACGCCACATGCTCCGACTCGTTCTCACCGCTGTCCATCACCTCCTCTGCCTCTGCTCCTGGCAGTACGGCAAAGAAGGCAGAAGAGTCCAAACTTTGGAAATATGCAGGCCTCAGCGATCGCTACCACTTCGTACCAGTGGCCGTCGAAACGTCCGGCGCTCTCAGTCTCCTGACGACCCAGTTCTTCCAGAAAGTTGGTCGTCGGTTAATAAATGCCACAGGTGACCAACGAGAGACGAGGTGGTTGTTAGAGAGAATTTCTCTGGCCATTGTTAGAGGCAACGCCTTTTCAGTATTGGCAGCCCCACTGGCGCACGAGCAATGAATTACAGCTCCCAATAGATAGATGGATAGAAAGATGGATAGATGGATGAAAGTAAGTATAGATAGAAGGATAGATAGATGGATGGATGGATAGATGGACAGATGGAGGGATGGATGGATGAATGGATGGATGAATTGATAGATAGATAGATGTGATCTAAACGATGAAGACAAGACAGTAAGATGGAGAGGGATATTGTATAAGAAGAATATACTACATTATTATGTTGTCTCAGCTCTTGTGGAGAAATATAATCGTATCCCCTCTGCACCAAAGAGCACCATTATCCTTTTTTCGCGTTCTTTGTGGCTAAACATACATCAAGGTGACGATGGACGAGAAAAGTCAAGATCCAGAGTAAAAATAGAAATGTGGGCTTCAATGTCAAGGATAGTTTTATTATAGCAGACTCGGTTAACAAATTACTTGTTTTCATGTTATCGCTCAGAATGTGTGAACATACTGTGTAAGCTTCCTAGATTTAGTCTAGCCATATATAGTCTCATTTCTTGCTCTCAGCTGAATTCAATAAAGACAAAGGTGATTCCAACAGCTCAGGGAGAACAATGCTGAACCAGAGCAGATGACCTTAGTTTGAATCCCCAATCTGGCGTTCTCTAACCAACTAGACTCAGTCTTATCAGAGACAGAAGTTCAAGAGGCAGGGTCTCACCCTTTAAATAAAATCTTACAGCGTTTAAAGAAACCTGAAGGGGAAACAGCACCAAAGCAAGACAATGGAATGAAAGACTGGATGGGGAAAAAAAAAGAAAAAGTAAATTGTCCATGATGATGTAACAATACAAAGTACAAAGCAATTCAAGGGATCTCTAAAACAAACCTGTATGTGGTCTCTGTACTGCTTCTGTGCTTCATACTCCTTCCTCTGGTTCTTCAGTCTTTCTTCTCTCGTCTTGTGGAAGACTTCATAGTTACCTCGGTAAGAGTCTAGTTGATAAGAGTGCAGGTGAATTATATCTGTTGAAACTGCATCCAAGAACAGGCGGTCATGGGACACTACAAAAATAGTGGTTGGCCAATTCTGGGGAAATACAGCAGCAATACCAAAGCTTTTTTCAACATAGAACATAGGCACTACAAACCTATAAACCACACTGATGTAAAGTTAATGTTTCTATAGCAAAATGTTCATATTTTGTCACACAGATTGACATACCAATGTTGCTTATTCTCATAATAAATAATTCATTACTGACAGAAGAGGGAAATTAATTCATTATTGCTGCCTAGAAGAGGTAACTAGAGGCAGTCACTGGTTTTTCAGTAAATTTGAAAAGAAACTTCACAGCGATTGCCAACAATGAAACGGCAATCACACATCATGAGAATCATACATTTATTAGTCACACTTTAGAAAAATTTTTCCTCTAAAAGTTAGCATTGAGTACAACTTTAAAGATTCAATGGTATTATCAACAGAAATGGAGATGCAGTTTTACCTGTAAGTAATTTTCAAGCCATATGATAGCTTTCATGTCCAACATGTTCGTAGGTTCTGAAAAAAACCAAAACAAACAATACAACTCGTAAAATGAGCCTGCATAAACAGAATATGACTTTAAAAAATGTATTTCTTTCACTTACGCACACAATTCCCCGCTCCTTTTAGAGGAAGTCAAAATGAAAAGGAGCAGGAAGAAAGCTGAACTGAAAGTTACTCTAAGAAAAGGAGTTCATAGAAAGGCTTTTTGTTACCAGAAAGTTTGAGAAGCCTTTCAGTGATTCAGTAAGAGACTTTGGATACGAGTGGCTTTTTTTGTTTTGGTTAAGTGTTTTACGGCGCTCGCAACTGCATAAGATTATATGAGCCCGCGGGACACACCTAATATTTTCAGTTGGTAGGAAATTTTGAATTTTGCCCGGGTGGCGGCCGAAGCCTACTCTTATCGATTTTAGACCACCAAGGGATCTTGTGCAACTTGCACACGGGCCCTCTGAAATTTTTCGCCCTTGTCCGAGAAGGCTAGATGTAGATCTTTCCTACCAGAAGATCAGGGGTGTGGCTGAAAGACAGCAGTAAGAAGAAGCGAAGGAGTAGCAGTAGGAAGGCTGCAGAAAGAATCAGGAGCCCAGAGGAAGGGGAAAAGGAGATGAGGGGGTGAGGGCAGAAAGAGGAGACGAAAGCAGACGACAGAACATTGCTAGAGAGCAGGAAATGAGGTGAAAGGAGACAAATTTAGAGAAGGAAATTTTTCGGCCGCTACCCGGAATCGAACCCGGGACCTTTGAATTAGAGGCCAACACCTTAACCTCTAGACCACGAGAGCTCCCCATAGGAGTTGCTGTTATTAAAAAGTAAAAATGAGGAGCAGTGTAGTAGTAAGTTTGGTTTTTATAAATATAGTTTCCCTGGTTTAGAGGAGTAACTCATTGTCACATCAAAGACAGACCACACTGCAATTTCAAACGATGCACTGTAGTGACTCTCCAAACACTCAATTAACTCACAACACAGCAACTGACATGACCATGACTTCGCCCGGACCTGCCAAGTGCTCAAATGAAAATACCGCCTGACCCGACTGTCCTACACAGTCAGTCGAGTAGAAAATTCCAGTGAGTAAAGACCTACCTACATCAGACCTGCCACTCTATGAAATCTAAAAATCTGGATTTCTGAGTTAAAAAATCAGGATCTGGTGAAAAAAATCGGGATCAACAGCAAATCAGTCATAAAGGGCACTGGGGAAGCCGGGGGGGGGTGTCCTGGTTCCCTTTTAAGAGGCAAGTAGGCAAGTATGCAAGGCAAAACTTTCACAGCATATATGTACTCGAGTCGAAGTTGGATAGACTGGGGGAGCGAAGGTCGCAGTGATGCTGAAACACTCGTAGTCTTGAAAATAGCTGAGACGTAACTCTAATCATCCACGCAAAACGCCCGCGTTTTAACGTTTGACTTCCATCACATCGAAAAAAAGATCGCGCCAAGGTTATTTATTTTTTTTCTTATTCCTTTCCCCTTAATTAGTACCTGTATCACGGCACGCACTTTAAGCCCAAGTGTCAAAACAATACCCCCCCCCCCCCCCCCCCCTCCCCAGTATCAGGATACTGGCAATCAAAATCGGGAAAATCGGGATGCTTGAGATTTGGGGCAAAAAATCGGGATATCCCGATTAAATCGGGATGAGCGGCAGGTCTGCTACATTGGTGACCGCGATAAGTTGAAACGCAATTTCAACTTTGTGTGTTCGATCTTGGATTATATGTTGGATCATATTTGAGCGGGTTTGCATTTTCATCACAGCCCTTGCCGCCTTACCATCCCTTCAAAATATGTGACCATGATCGTCAAGTAAGTGCAGTTTTGATTAAACTACCAACATTTTGGACAGCTGGGCTGGAAACTTGGTGCACCCAAACTGAAGCACAATTTGCTCTGCGGAATATCACCCAAGACGAAACTAAAAATTACTTAGATGTTGCCGCCTTCAACAACAGCATAGCTACTCGGGCACTTTCGATATTAACCAACCCACCAGAGGACAACAAATACAGCATGTATGTATGTAGTATAGGGTTTTACGGCGCTCGCAACTGCTAAGGTCATATGAGCGCGCGAAACACAAGTTGTTCATCTTCGCAAAAGTTCACTCCACGACTGGTTAACTAATTGACTTTAAAATGTTAAAAAGTTAAAATATTTAAATTCGGTGTAAATATATTTGTGATTTAAAACAACTCTTTTAAGTAACAATAAAATTTTTTAAATAGTACGTTTTCATTTTACAATTTGCAATAAAGGCCAATGGCCTTCATAAAATTCAAAATTTTGCTGGGACCAACGACGGGAAAAATATCTTGTAATTTCTTGCATTTATAATATTTCCTTCGGATCTCTCCTAAGTCTAGACATTCTGTTAAAATGTGTCTAATGTTCAAATCTGTGTTGCATCCGACACAGAACGGCTTCTCATCTCCCTGTAGGAGGTATTTGTGGGTCAGGGCCGCGTGTCCGATGCGCAATCGAGTAAAAAAGACTTCGTCTCTTCTGGAGAGGTCTGAAGGATTTCGCTGTTCTAGTTTGGGTTTTATTTCATATAGTTTATTATTTTTCTGCTTTTCCCAGTGGCTCTCCCACAGACTGGAGGTGTACTGTTTGACTTTATTTCTAAAGTCAGTCTGTGGGAGTGTGTGTGTGTGTGTAGTACAGGGTTTTACGGCGCTCGCAACTGCTAAGGTCATATGAGCACAAGTTGTTTACTTTCGCAAAAGTTCACAGCACGATTGGTTAACTAATTGACTTTAAAATGCTAAAATGTTAAAATATTAAAATTTAGTGTAAATATATTTGTGATTTAAAACAACTCTTATAGGTAACAATAAAAATTTTAAATAGTACGTTTTCATTTTTCATTTTACAACTTGCCATAAAGGCCAATGGCCTTTATAAAATTCAAAATTCTGCTGGGAACAACGACGGAAAAAATATCTTGCAAATTCTTGCATTTATAATATTTCCTTCGGATCTCTCCAAAGTCTAGACATTCTGTTAAGATGTGACTAATGGTAAAATCTGTGTCGCATCCGACACAGAACCGCTTTTCATCTCCCTGTAGGAGGTATTTGTGGGTCAGGGCCGTGTGTCCGATGCGCAATCGAGTAAAAATGACTTCGTCTCTTCTGGAGAGGTCCGAAGGATTTCGCTGTTCTAGTTTGGGTTTTATTTCATATAGTGTATTATTTTTCTGCTTTTCCCAGTGGCTCTCCCACAGACTGGAGGTGTACTGTTTGACTTTATTTCTAAAGTCAGTCTGTGGGAGTGTGTGTGTGTGTGTAGTACAGGGTTTTACGGCGCTCGCAACTGCTAAGGTCATATGAGCACAAGTTGTTTACTTTCGCAAAAGTTCACAGCACGATTGGTTAACTAATTGACTTTAAAATGCTAAAATGTTAAAATATTAAAATTTAGTGTAAATATATTTGTGATTTAAAACAACTCTTATAGGTAACAATAAAAATTTTAAATAGTACGTTTTCATTTTTCATTTTACAACTTGCCATAAAGGCCAATGGCCTTTATAAAATTCAAAATTCTGCTGGGAACAACGACGTAAAAAATATCTTGCAAATTCTTGCATTTATAATATTTCCTTCGGATCTCTCCAAAGTCTAGACATTCTGTTAAGATGTGACTAATGGTAAAATCTGTGTCGCATCCGACACAGAACCGCTTTTCATCTCCCTGTAGGAGGTATTTGTGGGTCAGGGCCGTGTGTCCGATGCGCAATCGAGTAAAAATGACTTCGTCTCTTCTGGAGAGGTCCGAAGGATTTCGCTGTTCTAGTTTGGGTTTTATTTCATATAGTGTATTATTTTTCTGCTTTTCCCAGTGGCTCTCCCACAGACTGGAGGTGTACTTTTTTACTTTATTTCTAAAGTCAGTCTGTGGGAGAGTGTTTGTCGTTGATCTCAGCAGAAGGGATGAAGCTTTCTTTGCCAGGTCGTCTACCTACTCGTTTCCTCGGATGCCCACATGGCTTGGTATCCATGCGAACATGATGTTTTTTCCTGTTTCGGATAGTGTATGAATTTTCTGTTGTAGCCTAACTATTTTTGGATGTAAGAGTGTGTAGTTTGTGAGTGAGGTGATGCAAGACAGAGAGTCAGAAAGGATAAGGAAAGATTTGTTAGGAGAATTTTCTACAGAGTCCAGTGCCATGTCAATGGCAGTGGCCTCCGCAGTGAAAATGGAGGCTTCAGGATGGAGTCTTCTCTGGTGTGTATTGTTGGGAGATAGGGCGGCGGCGCCCACTTCATTGTCTTTTTTGGAGCCATCCGTGAAGATGAGCTCCGCACCGGGGTATTTATCTATTAGTGTTTTGTATTCTGCTTTAAAAGTTTTGGTGTTTGTGCTTTCTTTGTTGTGCGTGGTCAGCTGTAAGTCTACTTTTGCCTTGGTGAGGTGCCACGGAGGGAGGTCGGGGAAAAGAATTTGTTGGATGTCTTGTTTGGAAAAGTGTAAGTTTTTGAGGTCCTCAAGGATTCTGAGGCCGAAGGGTTTGATGAGTTTTTCGTTGTTTTGGAATTTGTTTATGGTTTCTGGGTTTGTTTAAAAAATGCTGTTGTGCGCTGGATTTTCCGGTGTTGAGCTCTGTTTAACTGCGTATTGTAGTGAGAGTTGTGTGCGTCTGAGTGAGAGTGGTGGTATGTTGGCCTCGGCCTGGAGGCTCTCCACCGGAGAAGTGCGGAAAGCCCCCAGAGCGAGGCGGAGTCCTTGGTTCTGTATTGGGTCTAGCATTTTTAAGATGTGTGGTTTTGCCGATCCGTAGACTTGACAGCCGTAGTCAAGTCTGAACCGGACAAGGGAGATGTACAAGTGGAGAAGGTGTTTTGAGTCCCCGCCTCACTCCGGATTCGATAGAATTTTCAAAGTGTTTAACGCTTTCTGGCACCTCACTCGAAGGTCTTTGATGTGTGGTATGAATGTGAGTTTTTTGTCGAAAATGATGCCGAGGAAACGAGCTTGGTCCTGGACGGGAATCCTTTCCCCGT